TATCTATCATAAAATTTCTTAAAGACGTCTTATGCCCCAATTTTGGACACGGTGCTATCTGAGTTATCATCGACGAGAGCAAAGATAAAAACGCAAATTATATAATACAGATAAAAAATACATAGGAATAGAAAAAGTAGAAGCTAAAGGAAAGAGAGATGGATCTAATATAAGCCTGATCCTAGATCCAAACACCTTAGCTAGGTGTAAGAGAGAGGAGTATGAATCACCACGATCCAAGGGTCATCAGGCGAACCTGTATCACTCACTATAAGATAATCATACTATTATTGTTCCAGAAGAGTAGCCGATAAGATTGCGATGCGGCAAGTGTCAAATCCCACCCCGATCAAAATACACAGCTCTATAGCTAACATCGCATATCCCTAACGTCACGGAATCCGTAAAAATAAAAGGATGAAATCCAGGTGAAGACGTTCCACGGAAGCGGACGCAGAATTAGGGAGGTCAACGGTAGATATTTATCTCGTCGAAATTCTAATATTAGCCCCAGCGCGTTTCCTAGTCAATACTCCAGAGAGGCCCACCACCACTATCAGCCACCACTATCAGCACCCACCTACCACCCACCCACCAGCACCACCACCACTATCACCAGTGTCGTCATCAGTTGGAACGTCGTTCGGCGCACGTACGTATATACATGTGCACGCGCAAGGAGTCGTCGAACGTCGTCGTCGAGAAGGAAGAGAAAGGGGGGCAACAAGATGTGGGGGATGATGGTGTCTCGGCCTGGCTCACCTCTTTTTACGGAAATACTAATTCTTGCGGGATATTAATTTCTCGGCGGTTTCCTCGAGGCTTCACGCGACGATGACGATGCCGTCACGCGTCGACCGGACTTTCGGCAAGAGCTGCGCCGCGAGGAGTACCATCGCCTCCGCCGTGATGCCACGATGATGCATTACTGACGCTCGCTTGTCCCACCGTAGCACAGTGGCCGCGCACACGCCGTACGGGCATTACATGCCCGCAAGGATCGCCAACTATGGAGAAAAGTGGTGGGAACGCGGGGACGACGAATCATTCCTCTCCGGTCGTATCGAGCCGCGTGAAAGTCACCGGCCGACCAGGGTGGCGCTATCTGGAGCGACACGGCTATACTCGGTGACGGAGTGTTGCGAGATATGAGATAAGACCAAGGTTGACAAGTAACGAGTTACTTGTAACGGAATTACAGTTCATTTTTTTTTTTTGGTAACTATAAATTATTAACTTCGTTCCCCTTTTTCTGCAACTTAACTTAGTTACATTTTTTTGGTAACTATAATTTAATAATTTTCTCAACTCCTGAATAAGACTCACAATCAGCCCGCACAATGGAGAAAGTATTAAGAATGGGAATTTTATTACTATATTAGGAATTATTTTATTTCAAAACGAGGAAACGAAATGGACTATACAGAGTGTTTCAGGAGGAATGGTCAGTATTCTAGAACTTGATTGTACATGTCATTTTAAGCAAAAATATAAACATTTGTTCTACTTTAAACGGTTATAAAGATAAAGCATATTCAAATTTAAGAACGAATACATTTATTAATTTGATTAGTAGAATCAAATGCTATGAAAACAATTTAATTATATTAAATTTCGTCATTTCTTGTTACCATGATTACAAATGTAAATATTGGATCACGTTTGATAAATCCTGTGTTAGTTTAAAATTTTTGGTTTTTAATATAATTAAAATGACTCATATTAACATATGCTAAAATTATTATTAATTAATTATTATTTATTAATATTAAGTATTCAAATGTATTTTAAGGTTAAAATTTCATGTATGTAATTTCATTATTTTATAATATAAAATTTAATTATAATAAATTAATGAAGGTATTTATACTTAAAACTGAATACTTTGTATCTTTCTAACCGTCTAAAATAGAACACATGTTTATATAAACTTTTTTACTTAAAATGATGTGTACAATTATGTGCTAGAATGCTGACCATTCCTCCTGAAACATCCTGTATATAACGCACGATGCATTAAGAATTAGAATTTTCAAATTGAAATAAAATATTTTGATAAGGATGAACGAATTGATTAAGAAGCGATAAATATATAGTGTGCAGATTATTTTTTATATACAGGGTGTCCTGAAATTTGCGAATCACCCATTAATGACCCTATATATATTCCTTATTTATATGTTTCGGTTTTAGTTTCCAGTTTCCAATCGTATATTGATCTTATAAACCTTTTTATGTTATAAATCTAATCTTATAAAATTATATGTAATTTATGGTTTTGTATTGACAATCTATGTTAACATATTTATTTATATTTATTGACAGTTGTTGAATATGATTCAAAATTATGACCTAAACGTACAAAATAAATAAAGAATATGCATAATAAAAAATAATCAGCGTACTATATATATTTTTTAATTAGCCCGTTCATTTTTACCAAAATATTTAATATCAGAACTTTTCATTTCTTTTTAGTTTGAAATAAAATAATTCCCTTCTATTTATATTCCTAATATCTTTCCTATTGTGCGCAGAACTTAAGTATACATCGTCGAGTGGGTGGTGATAATAGTATAGAGATTGCTAAAGATGAGGTGAATTTTTTAGACGAAGACACAAGGATTATCCTCAATGCGAAAAATAGGGACGAGACACTTCGATGAAAACACGAACGAATATCTCCTAGATCGCTCTAGATTTATTACAACACCTGTAATATATATTGCGAACATTAATTAACGCTCTATCGCGATACATATATTTATTAATATACATAAACATATAGATATAAATTTTCAAATTAAAATGATCAATTAAAATATTTATAAATTCTATTAAATAAATTCTGAAAATATAGATATATTCCTCCTATTATTATAGAATATAAAATATTTTATATTTATATATTTGTTATATATTTTATATATTTTTATATTTGTTGTTGTATTTTATTATTTATATTTTATTATGTATTTTATATATAGACATATAGATATTAATATTTTTCAACTCGTTATAATAATAATTATAATATATATATATATATATATATTATAAATTATAATAATTGATACCTTACAATATGTGTTGATATTTTTAATCGTACAACAATAATAAATTAACAAAATTGAGTGACTCTAGAAAGATCTTATATATCAGCATTAAAATAATAAATATGTATAAAATCAATCTTTCCGGAATTACACATTAGGAACTAAATAATAAAAATCATTGTGTAAGGTAAAAATCTCGAGATATTGACAGAACCGGAACAAATTCACGAAAATCACTCCTATAAAATAAAAATTATTAATATAAAAAATAAATTTTAGTTTGAAAATATCAACGCATCAAATAATAATTTTAAATAAGATTGAACAGTAATTAATTTTTTAATTTTAAAAATAATTTTAAATAAGATTGAACGATGGTAAAAATGACATTTGCTTTGCGCAACCGTGTATAAATAATATATTCCAGATATCTCGGATAAAAACGCATCTCATAAGGTATAAGCTTGTTTCTAAAAAAAAAAAAATAGAAAATAACGGTGGAAGATTTATTAGTACTCGAATTTATATTTATCGCGGTTTCAAAGAAATGCTCCTGCATGGCGGGAAGCAAAACTTATTTTTGTTTCACTGTCACTTTTCTCTCTTTCTTTTTCTCCTCTTCCTAGAGAGAGACCTACGGAGTTTATTTATAGGAATGCATTCTCTCTCCTCGGTCTCTGACTATCAGCCACGAGATTGAAAAGAGAAGAGCGCGAAGAAGAGGCTGAAAGGAAGAAGCCTACGTCTCTCTGTCAGTTCCATCGGTTATTTCCGAATTATTTCATTCCACGCAGCTGAACGAGAGAAAATTTAAGTGTCGTGTAAAAGTGTGCACACACATTTCATTTTCGCCCATGCTTTCGTGGAAGACAAATCTCTCAATTGCGTATGATAACAATAAAATTTCATTGTAGCTTATCACCTGCTGGAGAACAAATATTTCTATAGCTTCAAATATAAAAATAATTATATATATATATATATATATATATATATATATCTCAGAACGCGAGAAATAAATCTGAAAAAATATTAGAAAGAATTGCAGAAAAAAATATCTTGCCAAGTAGCAAACTGACGTCATTAAACGTCTAAATGACGTCCATTTAGTGCTTGGGTATATACATATATTTGTGTGTTACTTCATCGCAAATAATGTCAAAATATAGATGGAAAATATTGGTTATATTTCTCTTTTTTTTATGAGAAAAAACATTTTTTTCATTAGCAAGTTATTCAGGAAAATCATAGACAATTGTTGAATTACAGCCAGCCAAACAGCTCGTAAAGCTCAAATTTTTCAGGTTTGATTATAAATCGATATACTTATAATATCTATATTATTTAGCTTTGAATCTATATTACATTTTTGTTCAGTAGATCATAAATTACAATAATCTATGAAAAAACCAGCTGATTTTATTTTTCAGGATTTAATTTTATCTAAGATATAAATTCAAAAATTCTGCACTCATCTCCTATAAAAAATTGAATCTAAAATCGACTAAAGTTACTGATTTACAATCAATCAAATACAAAATACTCAGATTCTACGAGTTGTGTTTGCCTAGCTATTATCTGGGATAGTTTAGTAATTATCTAGCTATTACTTAACTTTAAGGCTACATCTTTTGTTCAGCAGATTATAATAAGCTGCAAAATATATGGAAAAACCAGGTGATTTAACTGAAATCCATGTATGTATTTTACGATTAGTACGGGGTGCTATTCATTATTAAGTTCCGAGTAGCAAGCTGACGTCATTAAATGTCAAATTACTTTAAATGTCACTTTGATTTTAATGATGTCAATGATATCACTTTGACGTTTAATAACGTCACTTTGACGTTTAATAACGCCAATGACGTCACTTTGACATTTATGACGTCAAAATGATGTACGCTTGCTACCTGAGGCAATAAAAGTTCATTAAAAAAAAGGTACCTTTCGTCGAGTAGGATGAATCGGTGGTGAATTGTGAAGCGTTGCAGTTATTTCTTTCAGTACGACTCTTGTGCCATCGCGAACGGATCCTCTCGGACTCGACATATCGTGTGGATGAAATCCTTTTGAATGTGCTTCTCGAAATTTGTCTCAAATCTAGTGCGAAATATATATGTAGTGTCACAAAAATGTCACAAATAATTTTATTAACATAAATATTTATATTTGAACGAGAAGTAAATCTATCACACAAAAATATTAGTTAAAATCACAGAAATAAAATATCTTGTCTAAATATCTCTATTGTTTAAAAATTTTCTTGCTAAATCTAACGTGAAATATCGTGAATAAAAACACAAATAATTTTGCTAACAATATTTAACACAAATTGAATAAGAAATAAATTTAACAAAATATCAGAAAGAATTCTAGAAAAAAAATCTTGTTTCCTAAAAATTTTCCTGCTAAATCTAATGTTAAATATCATGAATAAAAAACACAAATAATTTGCTAACAATAATATTTAACACAAATTGAATAAGAAATAAATTTAACAAAATATCAGAAAGAATTCCAGAAAAAAATCTTGTTTCCTAAAAATTTTCCTGCTAAATCTAATGTGAAATATCGTGAATAAATACACAAATAATTTTACTAACAATATTTAACACAAATATTTATATTTGAACGAGAAGTAAATTTTTCACACAAAAATATTAGTTAAAATCATAGAAATAAATAAATATCTCCATCGTTTAAAAATTTTCTTGCTAAATTTAATGTAAAATATCGTGAATAAAAACACAAATAATGTTACTATTTAACACAAATTGAACGAGAAATAAATCAGAAAAAATATAAGAATTGCAGAAGAAAAATATCTTTGTTTCCTATGTATATATTTTACTTCATATAGTAAATATTATGTCAAAATATAGATGAAAAATGTTGGTTATATTTCTCTTTTTTATGAAAAAAATCCATTTCTTTAGAGAAGAATTATTGTAACACGTGATTCCTCGTGGAAAATCATATATTTCATTATCGCGAGTATCATCAATATGGAACCAATAAAGCACAAAGAGTCCCCTGTTCCCTGTCACTGAATTTCCTTAGGGAAGAGCGAGAGAAGAAGATTGGAGAAGAGGATCTACTTACGAGGAATATATACACGCACTCAAAAAGACTATGACACACACGACACTCGCGCACACTTGGAACGTTTCGAGAGACAGAACAAAGGGAAGCGGTGTGTTTATTTACACCTGGGTGTCACCCGGAGCGTTGGCGACCAGAATCCGGCACGAGTTCGACCAAGAAATAATAAAACCCGGGACGTAACTGACTGATCGATGAAACACACCGGCGAGCAAATTCACGCGTGGTCACGCGAGGATCGCGATCGGCTTTTGACTAACGGCCGCTTTGCCGAGGCCGTTTTGACACAAACTTGAACGCGAACGCGGCGGCCAATCAGAGCGCGCCGCCAGGCGGCGCCACCCGAACCTTCCTGAAGCGAGCGCGGACGCTTCTTCGCGCATGCGCGCGCAGTTTCGCGCACACGAAATTTTTTATTTTAAAATTGATATTGCTTTAAGGATGATTAATAATTAATTATTAATAATTAAAAAATATTGAAAATGATTAATTATTAATCGTTATTAAGCGACTCTACATCTAGCATCGCACTGTCCCGAAGAGGCGATATGAGAACCCTCGAATATCACACTGTCGACTCGATAATCGATTATCGCTGGATAATCGATTTTCGTTTAATTTAAAATTCGCGATCTTTCCCGCCTCTAAACAACATCTGTTGCGATAGACATATAATTGAATCCTCTTCCTCGTGCTTTTTGAAAAAGGCTCTCTAATAAAATAAAATATTCTATATAATTATATATTTAATACATATATATATATAATAAAGTATTTAAAACATATATGATATTTAATATATATTATATATATATATATATTAATATAAAATATTAATATATTTAATATATAATGTAGAAATATATATTTGATAATTTTTGTTCGAAAAATACGAGAATAATCGTTTACAACTTTATTTATTGTCAAACTCTTCATACAAGTATAAACCGCCGCGTTATTATTACATGCCGGGCAGTGCAAATTTACCACAAAATTTTCATGCTTAGTTAATAAGGATAATTAGTCTTTTTTTTTCATTTTTATTTTACCCACACGATCCATTCACTCATCCTTCCCGTCATTCATTCTAATTTAAGAGAGAAGAATAAAGATCTTCCTTTCAATAGATTCTCCAAAATATACATATACATAAAAAAATACATGTATCCGGCACAAAAAAGCACTGCCGTAATACATTGCATTACAATACACAGTGTATAAAAGAATACTATATTCACATATATACTCTCTCTCTCTCTCTCTCTCTCAAAATCAGGTAGAAATATTTATTTAAGGACACTTCTTGCAGGCACTAATATTTCTCTTTTCTTACGCTTACGTTTGTAAAATATTAAACATAAATTACGCCTAATCTTAATTAATATAAGACATGAAATTTCAGTACAGTGGATATAATCACAGAAAAGTAGCCATGTATAGCTTCTATTTTAAGTCCATAATATATGTTTGCAAAAACATTTTTAAGCAACACAGAGCCACTTTTTTAATTGTCTGTAATAAAATTAGTGATGTTGAACCAAGTGTGCTATTTTTAGTGCACGTTAAAAAATGCTTGATACGTTTTACTGAATCTCATTATTATTAATGTCCAATTGTTTAATCGAAATAGACGCAATTAGAAAGCTTCATATTATATACAATAACATGTCACGACAGTTAATGCTACTAGCATTTTCTCATATTTGCATTGTGGCAGTGCTTTTTTTCAAAGTACGCTGCGCTTTCCATATAAATCATTGTAACTGCCAAGTAATTGACAACTAAATATAGTAAATATACAATTATTTACTATATTTAGTATATAAAACGTTCGCAATCACTCGATTATGTATAAGGATGCAACTGTGGTGTGGGACATGACGACAGCGGGGAATTTTTTTGATTACTAGACGGTGGGGTCAAAAGACCACTTTCGTTCGGGCTTTGCCTACCAGGTTCGACATTCGTGTCCGAATCGTTCGCGTAGCCGCTCGGAATGCCTCCGGTCAGTCGTTGCTGCGCCTTCTCCAACATATTCAAATCGACCACGTGAGTCTGTATGCGATGCGATTCATCCACTACGATATTAGGTACGGTGGCCTTTAGTCCGGATCCGGAGTGCGATTCCGCAGGCATGATTGTAGCCCTCAGCAGAGACTGGGACTCCTCTTCCGCGACAGTGGTGGCGAACGCTGTAAGCCACTTGACGCAGGGAGCGAGCTGTTCCCACGAGAGTCGGGACACCCTTATTGCGCACTCCCTTCCCTGGGTGTGATAAAGCGCCGCCGCGGCTATGTGACTGTAGGGAAACTTTAAGCAGCCCTCGTCCAAAGTCGCCAGATCTAACAGCTGAGCCGCTTGAGAATATTGCAGTCCACCGTATTGTGGATATATAAATGTGTTTGGTCTGGACGAATCGCCCGCTTCAATTTGCATGTAAATATTCAGCCAACCTGGAGCGGTTATTGGAGACAGATTCCACCCGAGTCCTTTTAAGATGATCAATTCCTTTCCCAAAATTTCTTCCTCCGTGCAGGCTCCGTCCGTGACGTACGCGAACTCCGCGATTTTGGGTGGATATATTTCTTCGACCTGTAAAATAAACATATTTTTAGATTGCAAAAATAAAAATTTGTTTGCATCATTTTCCAACAATTAAAATTAAGCAATAATAAATGCATGAAAAAAAAAAGGTAGAAATTTACAAACCTTAGATGCAATAAAAAGACAAGTTATTCCTATGAGCTGCAACTGATTTTTGGGTAAATCTTTATGAATGGACAGATATCTATCTATATAATCCATAGCGAGGTAGTAAGTTTCCCTATGCAGTTTGTACACCTCGCAAACTTCAATCAACCAATCCAGTAAAATTGCTCTCATTCGTGGCTGCAATGTTGGGTGCCTTCGAAACATTTCTGGATCTCTCTGAAGTAAAGTTTTCTCATCCCCGAGGCACATGAGGGACCACACCTGGGTGCCATCGGCCCATGGGAGGGATGGTAATGGACTAGGTCTGATGGATGTGCTGTTAGAGGCCGATGGTGTCAGGAAACAAGTCGAAGTTCTTAAATCCGACCATGTGGCTGGTTCGTGCTCCTGCTGCTCCTTCAAGGGAGACGTCTGGTGCTGGGGAGTGCATGCAGCGTCCACTGAGTGTGCATTATGACAGGATTCTGGGTAGGAGACGTGAGACAAAGCCGCTACTTTAGTAGGTGGATATATGTTTTCTGAGTCTTCTGAGAGTTCTGTTGTACGTCTCTTGCGTTTTAAGGACTGTGCCTTGCCCCCTTGCAAGTAGGTTTGCATAGACTTTTTCTCCTGCAAACTAAATACACAAAACGAGAATTAGCTCACTCCACAATTTCTCCTAATACCCTGCTTATTTTAACAGTTTGCACAGAGAAAACGGGACGGAGCAAAACAAGAATAATTCTCACCATGTGCCACGTAAAAAAATTCGAAAATCTTTTTTAGGGCCAATGTACCGTTAACATATAAATTTATATCGTGAAAGGGATCATCGGGGAAGCCAGGAAGCTGCGAAAGAATCGCAATTGTCGCAGGAGAGAGTCCGCACAATTTCGGAGAAGAAACGATCGAAAGACAAAAGGTTATAGCGTGAAATTTGGGCGGGAATAGAAAAAATAAATTTCCGATCGGACGATTTCTACAAGTCGTATCGACTTCGACATGACGTCGAACGAGGCCCAGGTCGGGCAAAAGTGCCTTTTCATCATTTTTAACGCGAAAAACGCAACATCCTCGCTCACCTGGTCTGCGGCATCTTGTCGCCCGTTTATCGACTCGTAGACTCGGCTCTCCCTCGGGATAATTTTCTCCTGGACTTCCGCGACAGCGGGGAGCCTCGGTCTAGGAAATCCGTCCGGTTTCCACGATTCCCACGGCGAAAAATCGACGAGGAACGGAGGTGCTCGACGTCGTCTATGCGCACCCGATCGCCATAATGCCCAGCTCCTTTCTCTCTCTCTCTCTCCGACCGCGCTTTTTTATTCCTTAATTGCGTCCTAGGAATTTTCCGGCGACGATCCGGAGAATCGGTCCGTCCTCCTCACATGCTACTCCCAGGACTCGTGCGACCAGCCGATCGCCGAATATTCCGTGAAAAATTGCGGACGTGGATCTCGTAAGCGCGGGAGTACAGCGCGCGAAAGCGACGACCAACCCCTGCCTGCCTCGTCCCGTAACGCCCTCTATAAAATGCGCTACATAACCTCAAAAACAGGGGGGGTGGTGAGGGGGGTTGAGTGGATTTTCCATGATTTTCCGGAACACAATTTCGCAATTTAGTCCACTAATTATCGCCGCGACACCCGCGAAATCCCGCCACCGCTCCGACTCGCTCCTTCAGCTGTCAAGTTCGCGACGCTGCTTCCTCGACTTCGAGCTCGATTTTCTCGGCCCTCGCGAACTTTCTCGAGCTCACTCCGGGACGGGAAGAGTTCTCGTGCACTCGCGCACTCGAAAAAGTCCAATGAGGTCTTTTACGGGGCACTTTTGACAGATGCGGAAACAAGAACGCGCGCGCGCGAGAGATCCCTGGCGCGCGTGGCGGACTCGACTGTGGGTGGATTGGCGCGTCGCGGGACGAGAGAGCGGCAGCCCCGGCCGGATGCTCGACGCTGATTGGCTGGCGCGGCGCGCGGCACAGCTGGCGCTCAGCTGATCGCACGCACACAGAGACGCGGCAGGGCGCGGGGCCAGTCAGTGCGCGAGCGGCGACCACGCGGGAAACGTGCGCGCGTAAATGCTCGCGCGGGCTTTTCCTTATGTATATATCTTTTGGTTAGCCGCGTTCGGGGGCAATGAACGCGAGTCTTCTGCTTCTTATTGCCACGTTCGTTGTTGTTACTGTGCGTATATACCTGCCTGAAGGCGGTTCAGGAGATTTATTAAGTATTTTTCGTTTTATTTCTCGTAAATATCGGCTGGTCCCTACAACTTTTTAGCTATTACGTGTGATGATGTGATATAGTGACGTGTCTATGATGCGGTGGAATGTTAATGTGGCCAATGGTCAGTGTTGTGCTTAAATGGTTTTAAAATTAGCTATAATAGATAAAGATATGATAATTAAATATGTAAATTTAGTTTAGATACGATAAAGATGAGTTTGTTTTAAATATGTCTAGGTAAAAGGTAAAATTATAAGGCGATTATCATTTAGATAATTTCTAGTTAATATTATTTTTATGATTGCTTTTATGTAAACACAATTATTTAAAAAATGTAAATTATGGAATAAAGGTATTTTTATGATTCTGAACCAAATTATCTGAACATTATTCTAAATAATTTAATAAAGAGAACACTTATTTTAATCTATAATAGATATTTTTATTATCTATCTAAAGATAAGATAATCATCTATATAATTTTATTTAGATATAACAGCAAACACTGCCAATGATGTAAAAAGATAAACTTATTCTTAAATATATGCAGATGGTTTTAAAATTAACTAGATAAAACTATGAGATAAAAATATGTAAATTTAGCTTAGATAAGATAAAGATGAGTTTGTTTTAAATATGTCTAGATAAAAGGTAAAATTATAAGGCGAATTATTTAGATAATTTTCAGTTAATATTATTTATATTATGATTGCTTTTTTTATGTAAACACAATTATTTAAAAAATGTAAATTATGGAAAGGTATTTTTATGACTCTAAACCAAATTATCTGAACATTATTCTAAATAATTTAATAAAGATAACACTTATTTTATAATCTATAAAACACATTTTTATTATCTATAGTATAAAGATAAGATAATCATCTATATAATTTTATTTAAGAGAGATAATATTATGTTTATGATTCCTTATGTAAACACAATTATAAAAAAATGTAAATTATGGAAAGGTATTTTTATGATTCTAGAAACCAATAAATTATCTGAACATTATTCTAAATACATAATTTAATAAAGATATTTTGTCAAAATATATATATGCGTTGAAATCTCTTATATTTTAAATATACTATGATAAGTACTATTTTACCTACACGAATGAAAGAAGTTCCAAAATCAACCACGATGCGGTGCACCTGTCGTTGAATCCTGTTCTAAAAATCACCAATCGTCTAGATCGCAAATTATTCAAGTTGCTCCGATAATGTCTGACATATGTATATATAGGGTGTTAAAAAATTGGACTGAAACTTTTTGAAAGGAAAAAATAAACTTACTAATATTTTCAAAATAAACATTTTTTGATAATATAAAACAGGGAAAATAATATTTAAAAAAATTATTATTTTGAAGTCTTCTCTATTTTTTTCAAAAATATAATTATTATATATATATATATATATATATATATATATATATAATATATATATAATATATAATTATATACACACATGTATGCTACACACACACACACATATATATATATATATATGTATACAAAAATTCTACATTAGTGTGTGTGTAAGCAACGCAAGTAAGAAATAAACTTGCAAAGAGAAAAAAATTGATACAATTTTTTGCTGCAATTTTTTATTTTTTCTATAATAATTCCTTGTTTTCTTTTTTTGAGTGAGCAATGTAATACATATCCTTTGTTGTTAAAAATTTAACACTGTATAAAAACAATGATTATATAATAAAAACAGTTTGTACAAATTTATATATATATAATAAATTATATACATATATAAAATACATATTATATACTCTGTCATCTTTATATATATTAGTTTTTTTTATATAAAAGAGGTATACAATGAAATAATTTTCTACAATAAACATTTTCAATATAATAAGGTATTGTGTAAAAAGATTTCACACAGTGCAAAAAAGAAGTCTTTCAATGCAATATGTGTGTAATTAACAAATTTCACATAATGATATATATTATCGGTGTACACGTATTATAAAAGAGAGAACCTAGTGAATAATATACTAATTAAGAATTGTGTCTCATGCAGTAATATTGTATGCTGATTTGCAAATTATGCTGTGACCAATTAATCTCATTTTTTTATTAATTATCGCCCAAGTAGCAAACTGACGTCATTAAACGTCAAAATGTCATTTTGACATCAAAATGACGTACACATACTACCTGAGCGATTATTCCTTTATCAATTATATTTTATACAGGGTGTCCCCCATTTTAATGTCCTACCCTAAATAATTTTTTTATTTTTGATCAAATTTGTAGAAGAAAATGTTTCAAATAAAAGTTGTATGGTTTATGGAATATTTTACAAGATATTTTGTATTTTATGTCAAAAAATTGTTAATTCCGATTATAACTCAAAAAGTATACTTCATAAAAAAATAACTTTATTATATGGTTTTAGAAATTAAGTTCTTGAGATAAGCTACAAAAATATGCAATGAAAAACAGATGGTTCCTTTTAATAAATTGAATGTGACCTTCACATGACCTTCAAGCAACTATTCAAGGTCAAACTAATGGCACCATCTTAAGTCCCCCTTGAAACCATACCACTTTTGTCAGAAATATTTTCTTCTACAATTAAAAATAAAAAAGTTATTTGGGTTGGGACATTAAAATGGGACACTCTGTATAATAATATATTTTTTATACCTTATTCTTTTCTTTGAATAAATTTTTATTGTTGGATTTCACGTACCGTGCGAGATCCTTTCGCAGGATATCGTATATCTTCACTCAAACTTCATATTTGCAGAAAATTATTATTTCATCGCATATCGTGTATATACATATTAAAAAATAAAAAAAAATCCGCGGGTGTCGCGTCCGACCCTGGGCCCCGTTAGCGAAAAGGAAGGAAAAAAAATGCGGACACTCATATCAGGTGGAAGGAGAGGGGCTCTCTGAAGAAGTCGGCCGGCCCTGGTTTTCTGGAAATCGTCACAGCGGTCCGGGGCCATTAAACGCGTTATATGTGTCTTGCAATTTGATCCCGCGGCGCTCGGCGCGGTGCGGCCCGATCCGACGAGTAATTTACGCGAATTCCTGGGCGTCCGGGTCCTCCCTCGGCCGAGGGCCTCCTGGGTTCCTTCCTACGCGCGCCTGATGCGACCGTGCGGTCCCCGAGTCCTCGCGCACCCGTTGTGTCATCGTCATCACGGCATCATCCGCGACATCGACGAGTCGCGTCACCCAGGTGTGGTGCCGCCCGCAGCATCGTCTCGCCGATTCCCTACTCGGTGAGTATTCGCGTGACGCGTCGCGATTTGACAGACGGCGCGACCTGCTCCGTCCCCGAGTGGATCGCGGATCCCCGAGTGTCATAAAGGGCCTGTGACATTTTTATGCTCTCGCGACCTCGCCGATCCCCATGCCCAGTTTATCTCACTTAGCACCCCGAGGAGAACAGAAAAGTCAAAATGACGTCAATCTGACGTCATATTGACTAAATTTGACGTCATATTGACCAAAAAATGACAGATTTAGTCAATATGACGTCATTTTGACTTTTCTGTTCTCCTTGGGACTTGAGTTTTTCCCAAAAATATTCATTCCCACTTTTCGCAAATATATACGTATATATATGTAAAATAAATTTTTATTAATTTTTTTTTATAAGATTTTTATGTCTTTTATTCTATTTAAAAAATACTTTTTTAAAAGTATACGGGGTGTCCCATTTAAATGACGATCTTAAATGTATCTCTTAAATGGAACATTTTAGAGAAAAATGTATTAGACCTAATAAGGCCCAAGTCAGGTTTTAAAATTGAAACTTCCATTTTTTTATAGATTTGGATTTGATTCTATGTTTTAAAATAAGACAATTTTGTTCTTGGTTATTTTTTGCTAAATCCTCTCCAACAGGCCCAAACATTGTTTGAATTTTTATTATTATGTAATTTATTACAAAATGTCGATTGTACAATCTTAAAAATGTTAAGTTCAAGAAAAAATTATGTTTATGAGGTTTGAAGGAGGTTTGTGTGACAATTGGATGATCAGATTAAATGGGTTTGTATCTCAAATTAGATCCAATAAGGCCAAAGTCAATTTTAAAAAATTGAAACTCACTTTTTTAGATTTGGATTTGATTCTGTGCTTCAAAATAAGACAATTTTGTTCTTGGTCATTTTTTGCTAAAGCCTCTCCAACAGGCCCAAACATTGTTTGAATTTTTATTATTATGTAATTTATTACAAAACGTCGATTATACAATCTTAAAAGTGTTGAGTTCAAAAAAAAATTATGTTTTTGAGGTTTGAAGGAGGTTTGAGGTTTGACAATCGGATGATTAGATTGATAAGTCCGTATCAAATTAGGCCCAATAAAGCCCAAGTCAAGTTTTTAAAATAAAACCCATTAATTTCTCATCGCTGATTCAGTTGTCTATGTCTTCAATTCAAATAGTTTTGTTTTTAAAAGAGTGGTTAGATTTTGGATCTAAGACCCACTTATCCAATCAGACTTAAAATCTAACCAAAATAAAATTGTTTGAATTAAAGACTTGGAACTTGGATCAACGATAAGAAATTCATGAGTTTTTTAAAAAAATGATTTGATGAATTGATGGGTCTAATTTGGAATATAGACCTAATATTCAATCTAATCATTAGATTGTCACTTTTAAACCTCAAAACATAATTTTTCCTTAAACTTAACATTTAAGATTGTTTCTCAAAAATCAACATTTTATAATGAATTACATAATAAAAACTTTAAGCAATGTTTGGGTCTGTTGGAGAAGTGTTAACAAAAAATGATCAAGAACAAAATTGTTTTATTTTTAAATATAAAATCCAAATCTGCAGTAAAAGATGAGGGTTTCACTTTAAAAAATTGACCTAGGCCCTACTGGTCCCAAAACAAACTCATAATCTAAAATTTAATAAAATTATAAGAGATATTTGAGGTTGTTATTTAAAATGGAACATCCTGTATATTGTATATATATATATATATATAAAATTTTATAATATATCCATTTTTTATATCCTTTCTATAAAAAAATTTATTTCCATATGAAAAAGAGCTTATGTGAAAGCGTAATTCAGAAATTATTGAGATAAATATTGAAGGACATTTTTTTATATGCTTCTAGAGTAAATGAGTGCAAGTTTTTGAGTGATGCAGGGCATAATGCCAGTTAAGACAAAAGCTCGCGTTCCTGAAAACATGGGGGTCACAGATGGACTGGTGGATGCCCGTGCTAAGCAAGTTCTAAGAGAAGCTGTAGACACGGTTGTTAACAGCTTTGCGAAGCACAGTCAGGGTTATGGCAGAGGTATAATTGAAATATTTTAGTTTTATTATTATATATAATACTCTATATAACTCTACAATTTATTTTGTCTTTTTTTTCCTTTTATAGTAAACGTTGTGGAAGCATTGCAAGAATTTTGGCAAATGAAACAAGCCAGAGGTGCAGAATTGAGAAATGGTGCATTAGTTATTTATGAATCTGTCCCTGGTGCTAATCCGCCTTACATTTGTTACGTAACACTTCCTGGAGGATCTTGCTTTGGAAGCTTTCAAAATTGTCCCACAAAGGCGGAAGCGCGCAGATCGGCTGCGAAAATTGCACTGATGAATTCTGTATTTAATGAACATCCATCGAGAAAGATTACTGATGATTTTATCGAGAAAGCTGTCGCAGAAGCGAGGGCCAGCTTTGCGAAACCTTCAGCAACATCAAACGGAGTCAGTAGCCAAGCACAAGTAAATAAAAATAGCCCCAAATTATTTATCCAGGGTTAAGAAAGTTATTTTGTTAAATAACATGTTAGTTATAATAACTTAATTATAATAAAAAGTAATGAATCGTTACTTTTTTTGCAATAATCCTATATTATATTTTACATATAATAATCTTATGTATTTCAAGCTTTACTAAATTATATATTACATACTTGATTACGTGCTATATTATTTTATATGCAATAAATTTCAATTGTTTTAAATTAAAATAAAAATATATTTAGTATATTAAATTAATAATTTGTAGTAAATTAAATTCTGACATAATAATTAATATTATTTAAAATAAAAACTTTTTTTAATATTATTTACTTAGAAAAATTATAAGATTCAGATTTTTCAGTTAAAAAATTTACAAAATTCTAGACAGTTCTAACTTGCCGAAAAATTGTTAGTCCTAAATTTTAAATAAACTAACTATTAAATTAGTTAGTAGTTACCAAAAAACTAAGTTAAGTTACAGAATGTAACTGTAACTTCGTTACAAGTAACGAGTTACTTCTCAACCCTGTATTTATGATATTAAATTATAAATAAAGACGGTCGTTTTTACATATACACGTGTTTTCAGGGAAGTGGCGACGAGAAGGAAGATCCGAACACAGGTATAGGAGCGTTTCGTTTTATGTTGGAGTGCAATCGTGGGAGAACAATGTTGGAGTTCCAAGAATTAATGACAGTCTTTCAATTGCTTCATTGGAATGGCTCTTTAAAAGCTATGCGAGAGAGGCAGTGCAGCAGGCAGGAAGTAGTCGCGCATTATAGTCATCGGGCATTAGACGACGACATGCGTAGCCAAATGGCATTAGACTGGGTGGCCAGAGAGCACGAAAGCGGTGGAGGAGTCGTGGCGATGGAACTCGGTTTAGCCGAGCGTGAACTCGAGACTGCGCGATTAGCGGGCCGAGAACTTAGATTTCCGAAAGAAAAGAAGGACATACTGATGCTCGCACACGCGCAAGTCTGTCCGCAATGAGTTCTCTAACGCGAACGTCGTTCAAATAAATAACACATAAGACTGGTCTTTCGCAAGGGATGATAATAGTTTCGAACAAGAATGTTTCTCGAATAATTCTTTTTTTTTTTTTTTTTACAAAGTCCGACTTTACTTAATCCTTTTTAAGGCTCTAACTTTGTATGTGGCACAAACTATTCCGTCCTTTTTATAAAATGTATCTTTTAGTAGAGCTTTTTTTGATAAAGCATTCCTGGTGATAATAGATCTTAAATGGGATATCTTGATATAAATAGGATTATTAAGTATACATCTACAAATATTACATGCATCATTGAAAGTTATAAAGATATACTGCGCATTAAAGTACTATTGCATTTACATATCAAATCTATATATGTATATATTTCGGGATGCAAAGTTTTGTCTTCCATTATTTGTTTATTATTTTGTACGAATTTTGTTTTCTTAATCAGAGTTTGATCGAATAAGATCAAATATAGAAATTAAAATATTAATAAATATATAAAAAATGTACATGTGATATTCACATTGGTACAAACTACAAAACAGAATTTTAAGATAAAATTTTAAGATAATGATTAAGAAAAAACAGGGTATATATATGAAAACAATATATTTACTGATTTTTATCGATCTATAAGAATATTAAAATAAATCTGTAAATTTTTTTAACAACCTGCATAATTATATATTGAGCTATAAAACTTCAACAGGAGCAAACTTTCAACACATCGTATTATATTTTAGGTGAATAGGTTTTTCATATATTGCAAGGTATAGACACTTGCTTTTAGCAACATACTATTCTTGTCTTTTTATGAAGATAACATGAAGAAAGAATATAGGCGATTATATTATCCCCATATTCATATTCTCTGTTGTTATAAATTAGTATATTTTATATAAACCAAAATTTGAAAAAGGGTAAATGTACCCCTTCCGCAAGCACAGTTGAATAGAATATAGTTTATAATTGTTTTATATAATATTTTATATTATATTAAATATTGATAAATACATTTTTTTAATGCATCTTGTTACAACGAAATCGAACCTGTATACCTGTATCCTATCCAACAATATTAAGAAGACTTTGTTGTTGCACTTGCCGTACTCTCTATTGTCGCTTCTGTAGATTCTTCTTGCATAGGATGGGCCAACACTTTGTCTATTATTCCAAATTCTTTAGCTTGTGTTGGGCTCATAAAATTATCTCTCTCCATACTCTTTTCTGTGTGCAAGAGAGAGTATAAAATTATTTTATTAAATGCAAAAAATATTTATTTTGACAAAAAAAACATACCTATTTTTTCTAAATCCTGCCCAGTATGTTTTACATATAATTCATTGATTTGTTTTTTTAACTTGAGAATTTCCAAAGCTTGAATCTGAATATCTGTAGCTTGGCCTTGTACTCCTCCTGATGGCTGATGCGTCATGATTCTAGCATTTGGCAAAGAATGACGCATGCCTTTAGTTCCAGCAGCCAAAAGTAAACTGGCCATAGAACAGGCTTGACCTACACACCACGTGGAGACAGGTGGAAGGACATATTGCATAGTATCATATATACCAAGTCCTGCCGTTACACTACCACCAGGTGAATTAATATATAAATGAATGGGATTTTTACTACTCTCCGATTGCAGGAAAAGGAGTTGAGCAATTACTGCGGAGGATACATCATCTGTAACCTAGAAAAAGACACTGATATAAATTCAAGATTATGAATTAAGGTTTGATGCATAAAAAGAAATTATAACACTTACTGGACCCATCAAACAGATGATTCTCTCCTTTAGAAGACGTGAATAAATGTCATACGCTCGTTCACCACGTCCACTCTGTTCTACTACGATAGGCACGTAGTTTAAATTTCTGCTGCTCACTTTCTGCACACAAGCCTATTATAAAAATTATAAGAAAATATAAAATATTAATATTATATTATAAAATATTATATATTAAATATTGTAAAAAAAAATAATATATTATATAAGAAACTATATTACAACTATATTATAAAAATAAATAAAAAAAAATTATATTGTAAAAAAAGAAAGAAAACAAAGTTATTGTGCTAACTTCCACGAAATTAATAAAATCAGTTTGAAAATATACCCACAGCAATTTGCAGTAAACTGTTCATTCTTCGCAACATTTTCATAGATTCGATATGCGATAACTTTTTGTAAAAAAAAAATTTACAAAATATAATATGGTAATTACAGTATCTTCATTAAAGTTAAACACTTCTTTTAGCTTTCTGTAAAAAAAAAATTGCAAAGAGCGCGATGTCAAATATAACCTAATTTGATGTTCGCCAAAGTATTAAAAAAATTTGACCGTAGCTTCATGACAGTAAACAAGTGTATAAAAAAATCTTTTTTTTTTTATCCACTATTTTGCTTCTTCTTATCAGATATTCATTGTTTATTACTTATTCTGTATAGGTTATATTTTACACTTTTGAATTATACGTCTTTTCTAAGAACCGCAGAATTTTTTCAATAATTCGCTAATTTCAGTTTTCTAAGAAACATTTGATTGTGCATTGAGATTTTGCGCTTTCTTCACATTCGTGATTAGAAAAAAAAGATTCCGCTGTTTGCATTGAATTCTACAACATACTTCAAGAATGGGGGATTATACAGGGTGTCCGGTAACTAACGGACCAATGATTAAGGGCGGATTCTCTGGCCAATTTGGAGACGATTTTTCCTTAGCAAAAATGTTGAGAAGTCAATAATTTTCGAGTTATAAGCGATTGAAAAAATGGGTCTTTTGAAAACTAAACGTTTTGGAGTTAAAAGTCTAACATAATTACATTCTTCAATTAATTTCAGGTAGAGTTTACTATAATAAAATTTTAATTTGAGGCTTAGTTATAAAGATACATAATGACAAATATTGGAAAGTTGTAAAAAATGATGACCTTTTTCGACATTTTCGCTGAGGAAAAATCGTTCCCAAATTGACCAAAGAATCCATTTGTAATCGTTGGTCCGTTAATTACCGAACACCCTGTATAGAAAAAGAAAAGGATAGAACGCGCAAGATTGGGGGATTCCTTTCTTTGTCAGTCAATTCGTTGATTGGTTGAATCAGGTCAAGGAATATAGACTAGTATAGAAGCACGGTTCTCGGTATCCCGCACGAGCTGAGGTACTTTGCTATAGTTTACGTCACGTATACTGTACTATAGCATTTCAGTACAGTAAAGTCACCATATATCTAGTGACTTTACTCGAAATAAGTGATTATTTGGACTTAGGGCGGATTCACATCCTTAGCAGAGAAGCAGAAGCCAATTAGAACTCGCGTTGGCGGTAAGTTTACTATCAAGATTGCGTTCCAAAACGTCCTCCTCGAGGAAAATTTTATTTAATAGTATATTGTTCACTCGTGTGGGGTGGTCGCACTCGCCTTTAGCTCGTGCGTTCATTCCCCGCACTCGTGATCAATTGTCAACTTTCCACACTTGATACACATACTATTTTGTATTACAAGTGCAGGCAAAGTGGCTTTGTGCGCGTTTTCTGTGCGCGAGGTGGCCGATTGCACGCCGCCATATTGCGGCGACACGGTGCGGGAATAGCCGTGTTCAAAGTCATTGTCCACGGCTGAAGCCGATGACTTTGAACGCGGCTCAGCCGTAGGCAATGGCTTTGAACGCGGCTTATTCACTCACCGCGTCGCTGTTAGATAACGGCGTGGGAAATCGGCCGCTTTCCGCACAGAAAACACGTACACAAAGTGCCACTTTGCCTGCACGTGTAACACAAAAAACTATAGTACACGTTACGTATATTATAAATTATCAGTAAAATTTTCCTCGAAGAGGACGTTTTGGAATGCAACCCTAGTAAGCTTACTGCCAATGTGAGTTCTGATTGGCTTCTGCTTTTTTGCCAAGGTATGAATAGGGATGTTCCGATACCATAAAAGTATTGATACCTACTCAAATGAGTAGTACTCAAATCGTCTGAGCGATACTACTCATATGAGTACTCCAAAAGTATCGATACTTACTCATATCGATACTTTTTTCATTTTTTTATGCAAATGAATTAATGCTAAATGTATATGATATTTTACTTGATTGTTTATTTTATATAGTCTAATAATAAACGTTAAATACTTTTATTTTTTTATTAATGATAATTGTTAAACAAAAAAGTCATCTTTTGGAAGATTTCCCAAAAAGAGCAATTGCTCTAAATATTTAGGAGACAACTTCTGTTTTGAGTCATAGTTGCACCAGCTTTTGAAAATAAGCATTCACTAGGCACAGGCGTTGCAACGACGATAAGATATTGTTGAGCATATTTGTACAAACGAGGAAAAATGACTTTCATGTCTTCCCATTCTGCAAATGGGTTGTTCTTCAAAGATATTACAGGGTTTGATAAATAAAGAGATATTTCATCACTTTGGTGCGTTTTCTGTTTCTTTTTGTGACCATGCACTATCGATTCGATACAAGTACTTTTCTATCGATACCGAATATGTATCGAAAAAATTATTCGATTCTAAAAGTACTCGGTATCGAAACAAAAATATCGAATACATACTTGTATTTACTTGTATCGAATCATCCCTAGGTGTGAATCCTCTCCTTACTATAATGATAAATTTCCATAGAGCTATTATTTATATTTTGTTATATTATTATATTTTTTGTTATTTATTTTATTATTATTTTTATTATTTATTTTATTATACTATTATTTTGTAATCTATATTTTGTGATAATTTTATTTTTCAATATATAAAATTATTTTGAATTTAACTCTATATAATTTTCCATGGATTTATATTTTATAGTTTAAAACTCCGCTACTGCGCATCGTATCGATGAGTCTCATCAATTTTTACTTAAATTTTTAGTAATAATTTTTAAAAGTCCGTTTTAGGTTTGTCCGAAACTTATTTACAATATTGTGTTTTTGCGAAACACAATTGTATTCCGCCAACTCTCGGGGGAGGGAAGGGGGGGGTGTAATTTTAAAATATTTATTTGTATTTTTAGGTTACGTTCCAAAACGTCTTCTTCAAGGAAAATTTTCCTGAAAATCTATAATGCACGTAACGTACACTATAGTTTTTTCAGTAAAATTTTTTCGAAGAGGACGTTTTGGAACGTAACCCTATATATATATATTAAATGTTAAAATGACGTCATTTTAATGTCTAACGACGTAATTTAACGTTTAATGACGTTTAACAAATTGAAAAGATTATAAATAAAATATTAATATTTAAAAATTACCCAGGTAGTAAGCGTACATCATTTTGACGTCATTAAACGTCAAATGACGCCATTAGACATTAAATTGACGTTATTTGACATTTAATGATGTCATTTAATGTCAAAATGACGTACACTTGCTATACCTGGGTAATTTTTAAATATTAATCTTTTAATATATGATATTTTAAATCGGCCAATACCCATACAGCACAGATTATTGCAATTATATTGCAGCAACGTTGCAATGTTGCAAGTTGCAATGCAACATTATAAAGACATTGCAGAGATATAGGTGTACAAAATTCCAGCACACTTGTAGCAACATGACATTAATATTTCGGAAATATTGCATGTAATCCAAATTCTATAATTTATATATTGTAATATACATATACCCAGCAAACACCAAGTTACAGCTATATAATTGTTAGTTGTAATTTCCACTCAAAAATATAATACGTGTATTATAACAATTATATTGTTGAGTGGAAAATTACAACTAACAATTATATAACTGTAACTTGGTATTTGCTGGGTATAATACTGTAATAAAATAATTTTTTGCAATATTGTACAATAAAAGATGTTAACGATAATCAATAATTTTATTAAATCATTGGCTTAAATTTCTGCGCCAAACGCTCTGCGCAATACATGTGTGCGTGTATAGCAGGCGCCGGCTTCGCTACGTAGACGTAGATTTATTTACATTTGTATACCTGTATATGCAACATTAGTTTATGGTTGCAATAACAATGCATTATTGCAAACTCATAACATTGCAATATTGTTGTAATATTTTGTTGCAATCTTTCACGTCAAGCGGACATTTTAACATTGCTGCAATTCAACAGCAATGATGTAGCAACATTTTGCAGTAAATTTGCAATATTGCAATATTGCGATGAAAGATTGTTGTAATGTTTTTGCAATCTATCGGTGCTGTATGGGTAGAGCCCAAGCGCGAAAAATTAATTCTTCGGAACTGTATAATATCTCTTGGTTTGAGCCTCAAACTTACATATGGAAAAATAGGCGAGAAAAATATAGGTCCGAAAAGTCGCTGAAGGGGAATCGAACCCGCGTCTTTCACTTTCCGGGCGACTGCTCTTACCAACTAATTATAAGCTATTTAAACCCCTTCGATCCTATATTTTTCATTTGCCTTTTTAGTAGATTGTAGTAAATAACGTCATGATTAGGCTCAGGGGTGAATAAAATCAGATAAGAAATATTTTTATTGGCTCTCAATATTAAGAATAATCGCCTATTTCTCCATATGTAAGTTCGAGATTAATTTATATATGGAACTTAGTAATCTCAAACCAAGAGATACAGTTCCAAAGAATTAATTTTTCGCGCTTGGTCTCTATTGGCCGATTTAAAATATCATATATTATTCTTAATATTGAGAGCCGATAAAAATATTTCTTATCCGATTAATATTTTACTTATATCTTTTTAATTTTGCCAATATTTACATTTTGAAATTTGGCGCCAACTAAAGATATGTCACGTGATGTCACGTCAAAGGTGTCGATGCCATACTATATCGTACTAGTTAAACGTGGTTAAACTATGAGCGAAGAGCAATCACGTGCCCCTCCCGGCATAACATTCTAAGATTAGATGTGCGTGATTGATTAGTTTTTCACTGCATATGCATCGCATGCACACACAAACACACACACACATACACACACGGCTGTATGTATACATCTCATAACTATATACATAAATTGAGAACGAGAGATGTGTCTTGATTAATTAAGGGTGACAGTTCGCCTTGATACGGCGCTGAACGACAATCCCGCGATTGGATTGTCTATCCGGTCTAGAAAGAGAGAGAAAGATCGCTTCTTAATACACCTAAATCGAGGTATGCGTAAACATGTTCTACGAGTGATCGTGGACATCCAAGCGCAGGTTAATTCGGCCAGAGCGAAATTCGTGAATAAACATGCAACCGCGACCTCGTTGTGAGTGATATCGTTGTTTTAACGCCCGATATTATCATGGCAGAGAATCTGTCAAAACGGCCTTCCAAGGGAATCCTCAAAACGTCCAGCAGTTTTGATAATCCAGAGGCGCCTAGGTAAGTGCGTTAATTGAAAATCTCAATAGCAGATAGAACATAATTTAGCTTGAACATAATTGCACAAATTGTTTCTCGACACATTATATATGCATTCGATTCCGAATATGTAATTTTTTAATAATATAAATTCTTCTAGATATTTTTTACACCCTACAATATCATATTATTACATATATATTAATTATATTATTATATATTATTGTATACATATATATAATTTCTTATTGAAATTCAGGTCCTCGAAAAGTTTTTCTTCTGCGAAAAGATTTTTATCCTTTTTTTATCAAAGAATAAATAAAAATATTTTTTGCCAATTATTAGTATTATTATCTGAGGAAGGATGAAAAATTTTCCACACATTTATGCAAGAGTCGTAAATTAAGTTAATTATGTGATATAGATTCTATTTTTAGACGTAATGAGAAGCATCATTTGATTTTTCTCTTTTAATTACTTTACCTTAATCGATTCGTAGACCAAATAAAGAAACAACATGGGACGAAATGAATATTATCGCTACTCTTCATCCTGCTGACAAGGATTATGGTCATATGAAGATCGAAGAACCAAAAACCCCATACAACTTTGAAGGCCTTCAAAATGAACATGAATTCGATCAATTAGATGCTAGCACTATTGCAGCCAAGTGAGTAGATGTAATATTTATATATTGTACCATTGCAGTTTGTAATACGCAATATACGAATGATTGTATGTTGATAAAATATAACACTAATGTAAAAATATTTATTATAAACTTTATATTAATTTTGTGCTTGATGAACTCAGATTAGCTGGAAGTAGCAAACCCAAAATTTTTGAAGAATCTAGCGAAGAGGAGGAAGATGAAGAAACTCCTGAAGAAAAAGGTGAGAAAATATGCTCAGGTGTAATTGTCTTTTCAAAATGCTTATTTTTATTAAATTTTAATTTTGTATTAATATTTGTATTTAATTTTAGAAAGGAGGAGAGTTTTTGAGGCAAAGAGAAAGGGTCATTATCGAGAATGGCATGCTGTACAAATGGCAAGACGACTCTTAGAGCAAGATGAATTGGAAGAGGATGAGGATGAAAATGGAGAAGGTAAAAATAACGAAGAAAATTCGTCAGAGGAAGAAAGTGATTTCGACACCCGCTTCAAATGCATGCCGTCCTGTGATAGAAATGAAAAAAAATAAACAAAAAGCATTGATTTGTAACTTATTTTTAAATCGTCCATCACAATTACAATTTCGTGGCAATGATCTTTATCATTTAATGCTATTGCGATTAAAATATTTGTTATACATTTAAATGCCCAAATTAAATTTCACATTTTAATCATGTATATACAGCTTCACCCTCTGTAAATAAACATCTTACAACCTGAATGTTTATAGAATAATCTATTGGTAGATTTTTTCAAGATTATAGATATAGTAATAGTAATATTACATAATCGTAAATTTTTTAGTTACTAATTTAACTAAAAAATATTCATGAATGCACAAAGCTTGTCGCGCTTAATGTCAATCTAAATTTATTCAGATTGTGATATGTAAAAGATTTGCTCGTCGTTTCGGATATTACAGGCCTATTTGTCTTTACTTTACAGAGTTGGTTTTAAAAATATCTTGTAAAATTTCATATCCTTGGAAAAATTTGCAGAGGGATTTACTGTATCAAAATTCGACGAACAATAAGGCTGAACAAAGCACTTTCACATATAGCGAAAATTTCAGATGCCATATGTAATTTTTACAGTAAGAAATGTATGTATCTAAAAATGTTAGAATACATGTGTAATACAAGTCCTGTGATTAGCATAGGCATATGCTATGTAACATTCGAATGTACAACCTCGAACTTTCGTTTCTTCTCATAATGCTTGATTTTATTTTCCAAACTCTCTGTAAAAGAAAATTGAATATAGATTATACACATAGACACACAGACACATATAATGAATTATCAATTTGTGTAATGTAATTATTGATTAAGTGAACTATTTAGTTTAAGCCTGTTCAAGTTTATTTGAACTTTTATATATATATATATATATATATATATATATATATATATATTATTATTATTATTATTATTAATAAAAAGTATATATATATATATATATATATATTCTTGTTATTCTTCTATACTTTATTCTATATTTTTCAACCATTCGTGCCATTATTATGTTTTTAATCAGTTTGTCCAAACTAATCGATTGCAACGCACGAATACAACGAACTATATAATGATTTGTTGGTCTTTTTTCTTTTCTATTTCTTATTAAGATAATTTTTTTTAGCAGAGTAAATAGGGAAAGTATTTTACTCAGGAGCCAAAACTTGGACAGGCTTAATTTACTAAATTGTATACTGTTGATAGAATGCATATATAAAAAAATTTGTGCATAGAATACGTAAAAATGTGACATGTTTAATATATATATATAAAACAAAGAATTAAGTATATCTGATTATCAAAATTTTGAATGTCTGTATTATATAATGGAATAAAACATATTAATAGATTTTGAATAGTATCTGTAGGCATAGTATCTCGAATTAAAAAAAAAAAAAAAAAAAAATTCATATTGTAGATAAGTAATAAGAAAAGAAAAAATTTTCAAATAATGGACTGAAGATTTAAGGACGAATTTTGAAATAAAGTCTCGACTTTATCAGTAAATTTAATTTTGTTCCGAAATGAATTATGCATACTGACCACACATTTCTCGTTTCATTAGTGGCTGATATATTTTTGATCTTACTCCAAGAAGAAGGCAATCACTTTGAAAATCAGTGTTTGCACAATCGACCAAATTTTCCAACTTTGTTAACATATTTCTAATCATTGTAGATCTGCGTTAAAAGAAATTTAATTTATGAAATTGATTATGTAAAATTATACAGATTATTTCTTTTGTTCAATAAATGTACTTTATAGTATTGAGAGCCCAATCTTGTTGTAATGTCTTGACAGTATTTATTAACTCATTTTGATCAATAAACCATTCTACATCTTCATAATCGCAATACCAGAGATTCAATGGTACTTCATGAGCCATATTATACTGCGGCTTCTGTGGACAAGTTTCAACATTTAAAAGCTTCAAAATTATTTCAGGCTCTTCTTTTCTTTGTCCAACCAGTAACAAAATGCCCATTAAGCAACGTATTTGATGCCAGAGAAAAGCTTGACTTGTGATTTCTAATTCACATATATTGTAGCCTTTAAAATAAAAAAAACATTTAAATAAAAAATATATATATATATCAAAATAAAACTGTATTACATGTATTGTGATAGCTTATAGTAAGCTTAAGATATTAAAAATTACCTGTGACTTTTTCTGTATTTTGATTGCTCATGGATACTTTTGCATCAATTACAGTTCTCTTGAAGTTAATTACACCATTGGCTACATCCATTTTACAAATATTACGGAAGTCATGATCCCCTACAGCGTACTTAACAGATTTATCCATGGCATTTATATCTAAATTGCTCTTTGGAAAGAAATACTTGTATGTCCTATATTTGCAGTCAAATCTCGCAGAGAAATTCGGCGAGACTGGACACCATGCTATGCATCTTATATTTTTTGGTAATAATCTATTCAATATTTTACAATAGGGCAATTCCTCTGATAAATTATTTTGATTTTCTGGTTCCAATCTACTGCGAATGTCTAATGAAATCACTTGAGAGAATGAGCTAACACCTTTATCAGTTCGTCCACACCGATGGTAGTTGGCATTCTCACGAGATTCTATGCAACAACTTTTTAACAAAGCGTTGAACAAATGATGCTCGATAGTGTCATTGTTATCTTCTTGTACAGTGAAGCCATGATAATCCCAGCCGAGATAGTAAAATTTTAAGAGAATATGCCTTTTATGGTATCTGTGATTGAATTCACAAGATATTATTTAAATTAAAAAAAAAAAAAAATATATATATATATATAGTGAAAAAAGTGATACACATACCGTGAGAAATCAAATGATTTTTTCACTCTATCAGGCATTTCTCTCTTTTCCGATTTAGAATTTGTAGTTTTTGTGATTAGTGCTCTAAGTTGCTCATTGTGAGCTTCTAATTGTAATATTTTGTCGATTAATTCCTGTAAATCGAAATTGTCCATATAAATCATAGTGTTATAAATAATTATAAATAAAGATGATTAAATATTTGAATAGATGTAAATAAATATATGTGTAAATATATATAAACACATGTATAAATATATAAAAATTAATATGTATAAGTAACATATGTCCATGAATAAATAAATTATGTATAAAAAAAAATATATATATATGAATATGTATAAAAATATATATAAATATTTGAAAACATTCCTATATAAAAGTGATACATCAAAACATACATATATTCAGAAATATGTATGTCATATATTTATATTTGCAAATCCTACCGATTTGTCAAATAATTCCAGTTGTTCCCTCGTGCTTTTTTTCGAGTTAACACGTTTCATAGCTTTTTGACAATAATATCGAAATATTCTTGTAGCAAATAAATGTTGCGCTCGTCAAACAAAGGTTATGCGCAGTACACGTGTATCTCCGCGCGATGTCATTGGACACTTTCTAACCAATGACAACGCGTCATTCGAGTTGGGCTTCGCGCATGCGTAGTAAACGCGGTAAATCAGTAAAGTATCCAGGACAAGCAAAAAGATGTATTATTAATCACCCGCAAAAAATTTCTTAAAAATTCCAAATATTGGTTTTGTGTAATGTGAATATTAATTATAATAATTATATTTGATAAGACTACTCTTGATTGACCAAACTTTACAGCTATTTATTAATTTATGAAAAGATGTTCGATGTATTTTTTCTTAATAAATTTATATTATCGAACATGAATATATGTAGTAAAAAATTTATTTTGATATATTTTTTGTAAGAAAAAACTCATGATTTGTGGTGACCAAAAGATATAAGATATTTTATTAATATATGATTAATATATATGATAATATTTGACAATTTGTTTTTTTTATAGTTTTCTTGTTCGATCTATTTTTGAAATTTTGATATTATACTATTAAAATATTATTCATTATAATTTTTATTATATTATTATTTATCTTTACATTAAATAAACTTATATATATTTAATCAATAATATAAAATTCTTTAAAAACTTTTTTTTTAATCCGATAAATGTAGTCTAAATATTGGAGCAAAAAGCATATGTTCTGTCTTTTTGTGTATATGCTATTCTGAAATTTTGATAAAATTAAAATTGCACTGATTTATACTATATATTATTTACACTATCAAGTAGAGAGTGTACGTCACTTTGACGTCTAATGACGTCAGTTTGCTACTTATTGAGACATGTAATTAACCCAGATAGCAAACATTCATTTTGACATCGAATGACGTCATAGACGTCAAAATGACGTCATTTTGACGTTTAAAGACATCAATTTGAATAATAATTTGCACATGCACAAATAAACATAAATAAATAAAATTTATTCTGTCTCATGCTATTATTCTATAGAAAGACAAACAATCTCCAGTATATTATGTTTTTATTGTACCTATATATGTATATTTAGAGAATGTATAATAACAGAATGCTGAAAAACAAAATTAGAAAATATCTTAAAAATTGTAATTAGTACAATATGGCCTTTTAGAAGGATTAAGGATAAAAAATTCTTGAAAAACAATGATTTTCTTTATATATATATATATATATATATATATATAAGATATATATATATGAGCTGCCCAATCGCTATATGCACTTGCGCGAATGCAGTTGCGCATATAAAAGCTATCACACCCTGATCGGCCTATTGACACAGAGGGCACGCGACCCTTAACAGTGTTCGTGAAAATATATGTGTGGAAGGAGTCTTACCAAGTTTAAGGAGATTTTTGTTCTCCACGATATTTCCCGCGAACGGGGGCGTTCGCAGGAATCTCGATAAATTAAAGACAAAATGAATCACACGGGTTCGCTATTTTTATTAATAATATACAATCTGCATCTACTGCGTATAATGTGATTCTTATATTTCTCTCTTCTTGACTAGACAGTACTAGATCACTATACAGTTACAATTGTGCGACGCACTCATCTAGTTCGGCCTGAAGATTCGACGTCTTCGAGAATATGATAATAATTAACCGAAAGGTTCGGTGAATTATATATATCTAGATAGTCAGATGTATGGAAAAAAAAAATTTTATTACACACACAAACTTTGTTAGCAGAAAAAAATGATATACAATGTCGGAGTAGAATTTTAACAGAATTTTGAAAAATCTACTAACAGCGAATTTTAATGACAGAGATCAAATGAAGTTTACAATAGTTTAATAGCAGATTGGGCACAAATTAAATGGATCTGCCATTTAATTATTTAAATAATCCATGGCACATTTATATTCTATCTAAAGCTACATATGATACATTTATCTATCGTCATTAATTATTTATTTCGATTTTTATAATGTCTATTTTATTAAAAATAAATCAGATAAAAAATAAAATAGAAAAACGGTTTTGCTACTTTTATTAGAAAATTATTGAAAAATAAGTACATTGTTAAAAAATCATTGAATTATGCTCGGCTCTTTGTTGCCATAATACTTCGTCATCATAATTGCGGACACAATTAGTTAATTTATTGTGTATGCAATATACCGATCAAACCTGCTCCCAAACTATTATGAAATATTGCAATTATATTGGTTACTATCTAGATATTTATGTAAGAAAAATTCTTAACTTTCTATGGAAGATTTTCGTATATTGAATAATAAAAGTAATATCCATTCAATATACGAGAATATTCTGAATGTTGATTGTAAAAACGGTGCAACTCGAGGATTAAGAATTCAACACCGAATTCCGTTAGATGCAATGACCGCTCAGGTGCAATGGAGATTGTCGTACATAAATTTATCAAATAAGTATCGCGTTTAAAATCATTAAAACACACGTAGAAAAAAATTATATCGAACAATAGAATGAATTTTTATTTAACAAATGGGGAAGAATGTTATTTCTGGAACTTCTCAATTTGATAGGTGTGTGATAATTTTTTTTAGAGAAAAAATGTCGCAAACTACGATGCATGATCAATAATATTTTGAGATATGGATTTTCGAAATTTTATTTCTTTTTAATATTTTGAGATTAAAAAATTTTTGGCAACAGATCATTTTCATCAAATTTTTTAATATAACAAATAATTTTAATTTAATAAAAAATGTTCCAGGTAGTAAAATTAATAAAATTTTAACATTTAATTAATTTAAAGTAATTAAAATTAAAATGACATCAAAGTGACTAATTTTACTACCTGGATCATTTTTTAATTAAATTAAAATTCCCTCTCTCTCTGCACCTTTCAAAAAATTTTAACCTAACTCAAACTCTCCAGGTAGCAAAATTAGTTATTTTGACGTCATTTTAACGTTAAATTAATTTAAAGTAATTTAATTAAAATGACGTCAAAATTACTAATTTTGCTACCTGGATCATTTTTAATTATAATTAAAATTCTCTCTCTCTCTCTCTCTCTCTCTCTCTCTGTACCTCTCGAAAAAATTTAATCTAACTCAAATTCTCCATGTAGCAAAATTAATCATTTTGACGTCATTTTAACATCAAATTACGTCAAAATGACTAATTTTGCTATCTGGGAAGTTTGAGTTAAGATAAAATTTTTGTGGGGGCTAACAAATTATTTCAACAAATATATTCTTTCTTAAATATGCACATATAGTATAGACTTTTAAAAATCGATATTTCAAAAATTATGGAATGGTTTGCTTCTTCTGATAAAAAAATCTTATAAAAATAATCCATGAAAATGAGAGGGGCCAGAAATATTTTTTCAATGCGCTGCGCGTTGACACTTGTAAGGGGAAAAAATATCGAGATTCCTACCGTGATTTAATGATCTTCTTTTCAGTAGGCAAGCACTCTTTGCTACTCAACGCTTGAAAAAACCCGATCCAATATTTTCTCCGCTCGCTTACATATTTCTTTATACTTTGTGCAAAAGTGGTGACTTTCGAAAATGCACCAGTGAGCAGTATTCAGTATGCAGCCAACCTCGAATTCGTTAGGAATTCGGAATATAAGATAAACGTGACTTATATAGAGCGTTTTTTTCGTTTGCGTTTTCTCCATACATATATATATATATATATATATATATATACGTACAAAACTGATTCGATCTTATTTTCCATTAACGATTGATTTCCTCTCGCCTGACCACATCTGAGTGGTTTGCACCGACTAAGCGATTTAATAGTCGATAAAGCGACTCTTCCTGATTCCTGACCTTTCAATTTTCAGGTGCTCGACACAGAATCACGTGCTATTGTCCTAGTCTAATGTATGTAAAAGATGTTCGAATATCAGATTTTCGAAAGAGAATTTTGTTTCTTCTTTTGAGCTGTTGACTTTTATATGCACGCTTGACTAAAAATTAAAATAATAATAATAATAAAATAATTTATAAATATTAAATTATTCAGATGGTTGCCTAACAGCACACATATCCCGAAAACGTTCAGAGAACATCCTGAAAATGTTCGAATGTCCTCTGGATATCCTCTGAATATCCTTTGAATATCTTTCGGATATGTTGTGCTATTAGGGAAATTATTCAGATGGTTAAGATATAATCGTAAAACGATTTAACAATATTTATTCTTTATGCGATTAATTAATAGTAACAACTTTGATTCGATATCTCTAATAGGATTTTCGAATCTTATTTGCATTCATCACTTTCAAATTATCAAAGACAATTTGCGAGAATCTCAATAAACCTAGAGGATAATCACAAAGTTACCGAAGTAGCAAACTAACGTCGTTAGACGTCAAAGTGACGTCACTTTGACGTCTAATGACATCAGTTTGCTACTCCGGTAATTTTAACTCAATATTTTGAATTAAATAAATATTTAATCGATCTTGAAACTTGTAGAGTCGAGGAGCGAACAAAAAAATTTAATCGGGATAATCTCGACTTGAATAATGACATATATAAAACTCAAAATACTTATTGAATGACAGCCACTTTATTGAGAGTAGACAGCGGTGAACATTAAAGATCGCCTTGCAATCGTATGCAATTACCTCGATAGACTTTTAGATAGTAAGATATCACACGTGCCTCCCGTAAGAATCGTATTCTTATCTGTCATGCTATCGATCTCTCACATTATGACGAGTCTGATCGTCTCGTAAGTGCACTCGTAAACTACTTTATACTTCTGCTGCAAAAAATAGGCAAGCCGAAAGGACAGGACTTGCATTTCGCACGCCGTGTTTAATTTCTTCATCCTTCGTTTTCTCACCAAATGTGAGAGATTTTGTCCTCTCTCCGGTTCCTTTAAATTTACTTATTTTTTGCAGAATTTTCTTTCAAAATGGAGGTATGATGTGGGATACTTTGAACGCATGATAATTGACGATACATGCATTGTCTCTTGCGAAAATATATGTACAGGTAAAGATGTATACAAGTAGTATAATAATATACAAAAGTATGTGTTTCGATAACAATGTTAACAAATTCCTCCTCTTCCCTCCCCGAAAGTCTGTTATCTCGTTTTCTTGTAATAAATTCCGTTCAATCGTTATCCGCGCGAGAGAAGTTCTTGAATTAAAAGAAATCGGCGGGAATAGATTTTCTATTAAATTTTACATTTTGTATTCATCTCTCTCGTTAAAAAAATTCGATTTCTTGAGTAGTGCTTATTATTTTTTCGAAAGAATAGAAAAAAAATTTTAGGTCTCTACTACAAGAAACAGTTAGTCAAAAACTTCTATACACAGTTGAAAAATGTCTGTTAAATTTAACAAATATCACAAATTGTCCCAAAGGATCCACAGAAATTTTTGTGTTAATTTAACATAATATGTTAAATGGAGACAGAAATACGACGTTAATATTTTAACATAAAATAAATGCAAACTTCAAGTAATTTAAAATAAATGTGATGCAAAATTAACATAGTTTTGATGTAAAATTACCTAAAATTATGTTAATTTTAGATTTTATTATCCCCACACACTTATAAAATAATATTATTATATTTATATTAGTTATTAATATATTTAGTATATTATAAAATAATATACTAAATATATTAATAACTAATATAATTAATATACTATTATTTTATATTTATTATAAAATAAAAAGTCAACATTTTTGTCTATAAATTTTAACAGAAAAATCTTGTCATTAATAATGTAGAACATATTTATTGTGTAAAATTAAAAATAGATGCACAGTGTGTTATTTTTACATCTTTTTCAGTTGTTTTAATATAACATGAGAGCAATATGTTAAATTAACACATAAATATATTGAATATTTAACACGAAAATTTTAACGGGGACCGTTTTTAACAAGAAGATAAAAAGTAGCACTAGTATTTCTTCGTAGATCAGCAATTGGATTTTTATAGAATAAATTTTCAGTCGATCGCTTTTAATTCGCCCATTTTTCACAAAGATACATTCATATGTCACAGTGATGCATGTATTTCCAAGAAAGAGCTCTCTCCATCATTGTCACACTTATTTAACCGTTTCTTCGACTTCGCTACACGAATATGCATATACGTAGGTGCATTTATGTATATTACTGTCGGATTAGTTCTTTTTTTTTCTCTCGCAATAATTTATAAAAAATGTGTGACTTGCCTACTGGCTTACGTAATTATTACAGGATAAGTCATGCTCTGTCTAACAATAGGAATACGAGTACAAACGCTTCGTCGAATGTTTCATCGTGCGTGCCGACCAGAAATACAGGATCGGAGAACAACTGTTTTCTTTATATCCATTGATTCATCTCATTATTTTTATGCATAAAAGTATTGAAATAAGAGCATCGAAAAATGAATATTTTACGAGATATTTTATAGCTTATGTAAAATATGTCACGTTGAAGTACAAAATATTTCATAAACTATCCACTTTATGGCCAACCTATTTTATGCCAAATATCGTGAGAAATCGATTTATATTAAAATTAGAGTAGTTTAAAAAAACTAAGTTGACCTTCAAATGATCTTTTAACTTTCATATGAAATATTTTATTGTTACAGCTATAGTTTCAGCAATATTCGACTATATTAATTAAAATAGACACCCTGTATATCGACTGGATTTGTCTTTACTATTTCGGAATTTTGCAAAAATGCCTTACTAAAAGTCCAAAAACGACGTGAACCGAAAAAGAGAGGGGAAGAGGAGAGAGACGCGATGTCGCTTTTGATAATAACTTTAAATCTCGTTGTATTTCCAAAAATTTTCATCGTACATTTTTCATACTGTAAAAAACGGGGTATCACATGAAAAAAAACCGACTAACTACTGAATCGTGTCGAAAAAAATGTTTATTTTTTATTTTTCCTTTTCTTCAACTACCTTTAATTTCTTTCACTTTAATCGCGAATAAACATATATCACGGGTTGTGTGCTCGGTTTGAAATTCCGCGGCTCAAGAAAAACTCAAGAATTTCCTCCACAGAAATACCCGAGGCTCTACCTTTAATGAGTTCACTTGCAAGTTGAAACTAGAAAAACTGGATCTCACTCGTGCAAAGAGGATCTCGCTCGCGCAGATTTTATTCCCGCCGAATGCAATCTGACCCCGTTTAAAAGCAGAGGGAACCCCCGATTCTCTCTCATCAGTTTTCCCGCGCGAGAGAGGATCTCGCGTGAGTACTTTGTATTATTATTATTATTATTATTATTACTGATTAGGATTCTTTATCATGAGAAAATTAAAGGAATAAATAGTTCTCGACCAATACTGGTTATAATTATTTATTTAATAACCCTACCCAAGGAGAACAGAAATGTCAAAATGTCAAATTGATGTCAAAATATTTAGTTCGTCAATTTTGATGTCATTTTAGTTCGTCAAAATGACATTAAATTGCATAAAATTTTGTTGATGTTCACAATGATAAAAAATTATTATTTTGTATTAAAAATAATTGAGATGCAAATGTAAGATACTTTAAATAATATTTTAATCAACAATTTAGTTTTTATCACAATAACTCAACTCTTCTGCGAACTGCAATGATATCTGAATATGAAAAACGTTAACCTTTAATTATATTTATAATAATAAGCATTGTATATACACAGTCGAGAAACGTACATCACAATTTCCATGACCAAAAATGGCATTTTAGTCAATATGACGTCAAATTGACATCATTTCGACTTTTCTGTTCTTCTAGGGTAATAGTACAACATAAACCGAAAGATATTCAGAGGATATCCAGAGGACATTCGAATATCCTCAGGATATTCTCTGAACGTCTTCGAGATATGTGTGCTGTTAGAGAAATCTCACAACGTTTCGACCATAATTTATTATTATTATTATTATTATTATTATTATTATTATTATTATTATTACTGATTAGGATTTTTTATTATCGCCGGTGAAAAAATTAAAGGAATAAATATTGCTCGACTATAATACTGGCAATTATTTATTTAATAAATCTCACAACGTTTCGACCATAATTATTATTATTACTGATTAGGATTCTTTATTATCGCCAGTGAAAAAATCAAGGGAATAAATATTTTTCGACCGATACTGGCAATTATTTATTTAATAAATCTCACAACGTTTCGATCTCATAATTGATTATTATTATTATTATTTTTCTTTTCCGTAGAAAATGAAAGGATATGGGGGCAATTGACAATGCATGCATTGATTCGATTCGATAATTATCAGTTCTAAAGATATATACCCGAAGGTATATTTATGTATATTAATATGCTCTCCGCCACACACTCTCTTCGAGGTATGTATTTTTTTTTTTTTTTTGAACACAGCACCCTAGCGGAGAACGAAATATGCCTGATGAAATCGTTATTACGTAATTATTTTCTAGGATTGGCTAGACGCGCCGAGTTAAGTTTGTGTGTGTGTGTGTGTGTTTGTGTTTGTGTCTGCGTGTATTAATATATATATTTATATATACGTGTGTATAGGAAATATTCAATGAATATATTACTTTGTAACATATATTTACAAACACATAGTTATTCATTTTAGAAATGTACGCGAGGGGGAAACTTACTTTAGTATTTGTAAAGTTGTCACGCGTTTTTCTCCGCCGCCTTTTAATTTCCCTCGGCCTGAGATTTTGGCGGGATTCTTCGCGAGAAAAGTCGAGGCGACGCCGAAGGAGAGAACGCGCCTAATTAACATAGCCTCTCGATATCTTTCGTCTTAACAATCCTTATAATAGATATATGTATGTTTTTTTCTTTCTCTCTCTCTCTCTATCGGAAAGAGAAAAGGAACATTTGTTAGCCGACGGGGACGCTTTAAACGCGACCTCCTTTCATTTTCCGGAGGGAAGCGTTCACTTCGTCATCCTCGAATCGATGAACGAGAAAATCCTGGGATGAAAATCGTTGTAACGTCGTCATATCTTCCTTCCCATCTCTCCGCGACTAACGAATATCCTTTTTTCTTTTTATTTATTTATTTTTTTTTTTTTGTAATTCGTCTTGTAAATATCTCGAAGGTATATATATCTCGTTAATTGATACCGCATCAACTAGAACTAGTTCAATGTTTTAAAGTCGCGTCACAAAAATATTCTTCGGTCGTACTAAGAAATATTTAAACAATATTTGTTCACTGCTAGGGTTTACTCTTTCCCTTCCCCTTCCACTTTTCTATCCCGAAAGCAATAACGTTATATCGATTGCACAGACGACTCCTCCCCCATCCCAATCTTCCGTCCCGACTTCATTCCCAAAAATGTGTGTGTTGTTTTACCACGGATATACTATACATATGAAGTTTTTTATTCTTGTTTGCTTCCCCACAGTGTTTGTTACACGTCACGTGTAACACGCTGCGTCACTAATGAGATACAAGACCTATTGACTGACGTTGAAGTAAACTAAGTGTCGTGTGCTCGATAGTATCGCGCGCAAATCCGTTTACACTTACTCCGGCTTTACGTCTAAAAAAAAAAGAAACCCAAGCAACAACGAGTGAGACTTGAAATGAGCTGAGAGATCGAAATTTCGAGATGAGATTTTCTATATAAGTGTGTCTTCGCAAGATTTTCACCGAGCTTCGATATTATTTTTTTTCTTCGCTTTTTTGTGACTTTTATATACTCTTACGCTTAAATAATCATCGTCGCGCGTTAGAAAATATCCCGTGTGTATTATAGAAAAGTCTTACCTTTATTTTTCGTCGACCGTTGTCTCTTTCTTGTACCTCTTGATGAGAATTGGAATGACATTTATTATTTCACTAGAGCGTTTACATTGGGCGCTTTTCAGCAATGTACACAGACAGCCACTGTGTAACACCTAATGTTTTCCAACTATGATATAAGTCATAACAATCGTACTAAATTAAAGTGTTTCCTCGTTTTGTGTCACTCTATGAATATCAAGATTTTGGTATTTGGTACTACGTTCTTTTCTATGAAGTATTCCGATAGGAGATTTTAAACTTTGAAAAAACTATGTGAAGCGACTGCAATCTGGCAGTGAAAAAAAAAATATGAGCAGCGTTTTAGTGTGTCACACAGCGTGCAATTGTGTTTTGTTGCTGAAAAGTACCTATTATTCACGCGTTCTTTTTTCTTTTTTTAATTTTTTTCCGTAATATTAAATGCCGAGCGAGAACGCGAGAGAGAGCGAATTAATTAAACCCACAGCGCGTCTGTGTCCACGTCATCATTCTTATAAATGAGTTAACGAAATGGCACAAACATGGCCTTGAATTTAACAATGATTTGTCCGAAAAGAATCGTCTCACCTTCCGTGAGACGCAAAACGATCTCGTAGAGAGACGCTTGCGCGAGATCAATTAATTTATCCTTAATTAACTTAAACAACCGATCTAACACACCCTACCGATTGTGAGTCTAGTGTGACGGGAAAATGTGAGCGAGTTTTTGCCGCGCAGTAGCGATGCATCAGGTGTCGCATCAGGCTGGACACGTGCTAAAGGTACTCGACGATGTCGCACTTGATGGATATATTCGGGCAACTAGCTATATTCGAGCGATAGCCCCGTCTGGCAGTGCTCTTGTGCCGCTCTGTGAGGAGCTTTTGAAAGATCGGCAGGATCGTCAGATCCAGCAGCTCGCCATCCGAAACGGCACTGTACATTTTGGAAACGTTCATCGCGGAACCACCTGCAAGCAAGAACATCAAGATCGAATTAGGATGACAATATACCATATATATCCCATATTAGGATATATATTGTCATCCCAATCTCTATCCAAGACTCTGACTCTGTTGCAATCGCGTCAAAATCGAAGACACTCGGTGACATATTTGCGAAGATGAACAGATTCGTAATAAACTTTAGTCTAGCATGTCCGAGACGCAATGAAGGTATTTAAGGGACACGATATGCACAATATGTATGTTAAAGCATTTTTTTAAGTATATATACATATCCCCTGTGGCAAGCGTACGCCATTTTGGTATCAAATGACGTCAAAATAGCGTCATTTTTACGTTTAATGACATCAATTTGCCATTTAGGATATTTCATCTGAGTAATGAAAATCTGAATATCAGACAATCACTCGGTGCACTCCGAATCATATCAATTTAACCAACCGTATTTGAAATATGAATAACTTTACTGTACAATCAGATTGCCATTTAAAATCTGATTAGTTTGCTCTTTAATGTAGATTTCATTATTAAACGTTTATTTCCGCTGCGACAGCACGAATACGTGAACTCTCGGCAGCGTAATAGTTATAATTTCTTCCTTTACACGAGCATTTAATTTCGAAATTAATGTCAAAAGATTAATATAGTAGTATAAAATATATGTATTCTAGTTTTTTGTTATTGATTAAGATGCTTTAAATATTTTTTTGCTTGTCATAATAAAACCTATTTTTCACTTCATTTGGATGCGGATGCAACAGTATTTTCATGCAGCAAAAAATCTGTAATATTGCTCATCAAAATATGTTATTGACGTTTTTAGCTAATATTTTTCAAATGTAACTAATGCGACACATATCTTGCACTTGTAATGAAATGTTTCTACTAGTTTTAAGTCTCGTTGCAGAGAAAATAATTGAGAGGTAGACATTTTTTAAGAGCTAGACATTTGGGATTCGATTTTCCAGCATATTCCGCAAATTCTTATAGTTCTAAATAACAATACATATAATGACACACAATGTTATCCTTAGAACATATTTCAATAGAAGGAGATTGACCACCGAGCCTGTATTCAAGATCTATGTATATGAAAGAAAAAGATAGTGATTCCCTAATCGTATACATGCGTTGCTATCGTTATTGTCATGAGGTTTTTTTATAGTTACCATTGGGAAAAGATTGTTACCTCTTGCTCTTCTCTTGCTGAACTAATAGTAACCATGGCAATGATAATTACGTATACGCATTGCGGGAAATCATCCTATCTTTTTCTCTCGCACCTATGTTTGACACAGACTTATTCCACGAGAAAGGGATCCGATAGCCCACATTGTTAATTGAACCAATTGAATACTATGACCAGAATTCATAGTCCGATCTTCTATTTAAGATCGTCTTAAGTGTGGCATTAGGTCGACTTAAGATTCCATTCAACCAATCAAATGCACATAGCATCTTAAGGACTCTGATGATTGATCAATTGTGCCAGTTACTCTAAGCACCAGTGTAGATGTGTGCTAACGAGATCTTCCCTTCCACGAGAAGGATACAATTTCTCTCTCATGTATATATGTTCTAAGATGCTACTGTTCAATAGAAGGGGAATTGGCCGAGCCTGTGTTCAAGATCTGTGTGAAAGAGAAAGGTAGCGATTCCCTAATCATCCACAATACATATACATGCGTTGCTATTGTCATTGCCATGCGTGTTTTTATAGTTACTATTGGGAAGAGATTGTTACCTTTTGCTCTCTTTTTGCTGAACTAACAGTAACCATGGCAATGATAATTACGTATACGCATTGCGGGCAATTAGAAATCATCGTACCCTTTTCTCTCGTACCTATGTTTGACAGACTTATTCCACGAGAAAGGGATCCGATAGCCCACATTGTTAATTGAACCAATTGAATACTATGACCAGAATTCATAGTCCGATCTTCTATTTAAGATCGTCTTAAGTGTGGCATTAGGTCGACTTAAGATTCCATTCAACCAATCAAATGCACATAGCATCTTAAGGATGATTGATCAACTGCCAGTTACTCTAAGCACCAGTGTAGATGTGTGCTAACGAGATCTTCTCTTCCACGAGAAGGATACAGACAATTTTCCTCCCATGTATATACATATGTTCTAAGATGTTACCGTTCACATCGCCGGTTCCGCCACGCAGGTTCGCCGCGACGTGCTTGCCGTTGTGCATCGTCGCCACATTCGGAGTGCTCTGCACGTATTCCAACCGTGCCTGATGGCGCAGCTTTGAGCCCGAGTGCCGGCACATACGACGCGCAACGCGATGTGAGCACTCGACTATGGGGTGGCCGCCGCTGATGTGCAGCCGCAGGCACTTCTCCCGCGAACGCTCCGACATGGAGCGCTGAATGATCGTTGACATCGACTCCTCGTACTTTTCTGTCAACAGAAGACACTCAATTGTGTCGTCTCTCTCTCGCGCGCGAGGTCCTTTAGAAAGACCCGAAAATGTGACTTTGCGAGTGCGGACACTAAAGATGACTTTGACTCTATTTAAGAGTTACAATTTAAACATCTAATCTAAACTTAGGTTTGCTTTGAGAAGCTTATCCCGTTTTCCGTATTTGTACGTTTATTTTTATGTGACACACTTCACTTTTGCGCGGAAAATTAAGAAGATATTTGTTTAAAATTAAAACAAAGTTCATGTGAATCAGAATCTTCATCTCTACAACATATATGAAAGTCAAAGTCATCGGTGAGGAAATAAATAAAAAATTTTATTTTATTTTCTAATTATTTAACTTTTTATCGTGTTTTATAGTATTTAGATATGTTGGTTTGGGGATTAATTTTTTAAAATCAATTTTTTTATTTGTTGTTAAAAAAGACCAGTTACACAAGAAAAAAGAGTATTAAAATATTATTAAATTATTTTTACATATTTAATAATTAAAAGATTAAAATTATGATATAGGAAATAGTTTCTAGTAAATATATAAGCAAAAATTTTCATTCAAAATCCTTATATAAGAGCTATAAGAAAGAGAAGTTTAGAAACGATATAATATGTTAGTTCGGATATCTTTTTTCTATTGTCGATCTTCATTAATTGATTAATTACATTAGTTTACAAATTTTTTTCATTATTTTAAATCAAACAAAGTGTTTTTTATAGATTTTTGAATACTGAAAACATTGTTGGAAGCCAATTTTTTCCAGCACGTCAGATTTTCAAAATAATTGAGATTTAATATGCAAGAATTGGCTTGCGATATTTCAAATTTTTTTTGTGAAAAAATAACGTTATAGGAAATTGAATGTATTGTTTATTCCATATAAAATGCATTTTTTAAATTTCAATATCTTACTTTTTTGTCATGTGAGGAAGGATTTAAATACAAAGCTTTGCTGAGATAGTAAATATTTCGCTTATGATGATGCAAAGTCATAATTATATTCATAATTTATTTAGGACTGTAAATACATAGTGTAACTTATGGTAATGGATTCTACTAAATATTTATTAATATATAAGATGTTTTATTTTAATTATTCACCTAGAATTTCTCGAAAAAAATGCATTTTCAAAAAAATGTTTCAAACAAAAGTTGTATAATGTAAAAAGCGACATTAATGGTAAAATCAATTTTGGAACAAGTAATTTTTTTTAAACTTTTTACTCAGGAATATCTCTATATGAATAATTTCCAGTTGTAATCTTTTATAACATGACTAAAAAGTCAGATATTGAAATAAAAAATGAATTTTAAAGGGGATGAATAACACAATTATATTTGATCAGACTTTTCAGATAATGTTAACTTTTTCACAAAAAAATCTCAAATATCGCAGAAAAAGCCATTTTTTACACATTGAAGAGATGTTGACTCTGTCTGTTTTATCGACAAATATTATTTTTACTCAACTATTTATTGGTTGTACAGAACAGAATGAAAAATTTTCTTATCGATCTTTTGCATTATGTTGTATTACGACTTAATCTAACCTAACCGATAACAAAACTGTAATTATTTAATTTTCTCTTTTTAAAAGTATACATACATAGTAACTCAGATTTATTATTGTGAATAATTTAATTCTAGAAAAAGATTTTTCATTCCCTAACAGTACACATATCCCGAAGACATTCAGAGAACATCCTGAGGATGTTCGAATGTCCTCTGGATATCCTCTGAATATCTTTCGTATGTTGTACTAAGGTTCTGTATAGCCAATAAATAGTTAAATGAAAATAATATTCGTCGATAAAACAGCAATTATTCTGGAAATCTGACGTGCTAGTGTTTGATTTGCGGGATCGTTTTCAGTATCCAGCAAAATCTACGAGAAACACTTTGTCTGGTTTATAATAATTTTTGACTGTAAATTAATGTTATCATACACGCCATCTCGTGAAAAAAATTCGAAAACACCGATCCTTACCGTGTCGATGATTTGGCATGTACTGCAACGGGAATGGCATGATGACCTGTTCGATGTAGTTCTGTTCGTGAAGCTCGCCAAAGGAGACGTTCTTGGTCGGCGGCGGCGTCGACAGCTTCGCCCTGCGTTCGTCCTTGCTCCGTCTCCTTACGCGGCACACGTGTCTCGCGATCTCGGTCTCCTCCAGGATCACGGAGTCGCTCTCCTCGACGACTGGCGGTACAAAGTCGTAGCGCGTCGTCGTCGTCGTCGTCGTCGTCGTCGTTGTCACGGCGTCGTTCGGCAGCGGTTCCTGACCCCGGTCCCGCATCAGCAACGCCATCTCGCTCGCTCTCTCGTCGGTGGCGCTTTTACGCCGCGACGGCTCCATGCCGCAGGTGTGCCGCGATTGCGTCGTCGTGGGCACCGTCACCGTCGTCGTCGTCGTCATCGTCGTCGTTGTCATCGCTATTGTCATCATCGTTGACGGCAGGGGCGGCGGCGGAAACGCGTCCATCGTCGTTGTCTCGGCGCCCGGGGAAGAGCTCTCCTCGATCGCCTGCGCCATCACAGCCACTCGTTCGTTGTCGATTGTGATTGACGTGGCCTTCGTGATAGATGTCCTTTTCCTAGAACGAGCACCACGCGACTACCTTGAGGATGGACGGCAGAGCGGATACATCCGGGGACTTCCGGATGGCCAGAAGTCAAAGAGAGAGTATGGGGTGGACGGATCATCAAATTATCTCTCTGCATTTAATTTTGATTTCTTAACTCTTTTTTAACCCTTCTGTCAATGATGGATACTTGAATGTCGAAAGCAATTTTGAATGTTACCCTAATAACACATACCATATCCAAAAGACATTCAGAGGATATCCAGAGGATATCCAGAGGACACTCTGAACGTTCTCTGAACGTTTTCGGGGTATGTGTGCTATTAGGGTTAACAGGATGCCGAATTAGTTCTGTTTTACCGATCGAAAAGTGAGGTTGGATTCGACTATAAATCTATTTATTGGCTATACAGATTGTTTATTACCTGAAATTATAAGCTAACGTGGTTTGTTAGTGTTAATACTTTAATTGTGGAAAAGGATTTATCAATCTGTGTAGTCAATTAACATATACATTTAAAAATCAAAATATTTTAATTTTTTATTGATTGATAAATCCTATTTTATAATCAAAGTATTAATATTAACAAATCGCGTTAGCTTATAATTTCAGGTAATAAACGATCTGTATATCCAATAAATAGATTTATAGTTGAATTTAACTTCACTTTTCGATCGATAACACGAAACTACTCCGGTATCCTCTTCTCTGCTTAAAACAAAATCAAAAAGGGTTTTTTTGTATTCGGAAATATAATGGAATTGAATGCTTGATGCTACAAAGAAATTGTCATATAGTGCAATATGCGGAAAAAGGATTGACAGAGGGATTAATATCCAGAAATGCGTGAGTTATCGAGATAGCAAAAATTCGCATAGAGTGAATTTAGAGTTTTGATATTTGATCAAAAAGTAAATCTGAATCGCGAACATGTATCTTCGAACTGTAATTTTGTTAATTTGATTTATTATATACAGGGTATCCCAGACCTACAATCTGTTAATGGCAAAAGCATTTGAAAATAGGAAGCCATTATTTCTTGCATGGTTCCAATTTTTGTTTATTATGTATCTTTGTAATCTTTACAATTAAATTAAAATTTTATTAAAGTAAAGCCTACCTAAAGTTAACTGAAGAATGTGATTTTGTTAATATTTTATTTCCAAAAGCGAAATACTTGCGAAATACTTTATATTTTCAATCACTTATAAAATTACTGGTGCTTCGACATTTTTGCCGAGGAAAAAATTGTCTCCAGATAATCCCAGAGATCTGCCATTAACAAATTACACCTTATGTATATTCATAGTTTATTATATATGTATAATTCGGCTTTAATAATAATTATTCGATAATATTATTATATTGCATTTTCAAATATCGTCTATCTTAGCACTTGATTATTTTTGTCAAGTCTTTCGTATATACAAGCAGTGAGAGAGATTGATTTCCGCATTTAGGAAAAAGGATTGAGATCTAAAGGTGAAATTTAATATCAAACGTGGTAACGTACTTTGTTACTTGATCCACGTTGACGTAATCGCCCTCCGGCTGCGAAACGGTTGATGAGTTCAAGCTGCATATGGACATTGAAACATCAGTCGTTTCTGTAGTTACTGATGGCCCTATGGAATAAATAAAACGAAATTATTGGTGGAATAATTTAATTATTTTATTTTCGCATCGGCCGGTTCAAAGAAAACAATATGTATACGTTTTTTTCCATTATATCTGATTTCAAATCAAAATAGAAGTTAATAATGTTTCACAAAAAAATTAGTATAAAAAAACTTTTTCTAGATAAAAAAATATATTGAAGCGGTAGTGTGTAACTATTTTAATCGATAAAGTGTGTTACTTCGAAAAACTATGCGTTTAATATTATACATACACCCACGTATATTCGCTTTTTTTAATTTTATCTAACAGATACGTGAAAGAAAATATTTTATTCAATCTAATAGAAATGATATCCTTGATTTATAAATAAATCGAGATATTGAATACTTTGAGAGGGAAAAATATTGGAACGAAAATATTTACCTTCCCTTTTAACGGCCTCTTCTGGCTTTGGAACAGGCAACGTGTCGACCGTCTCTTGCGTTTCACTTGCAGTTTCTTCGCCCATTCTTTTTAAAAATCCCTGAAGTAATGCGCAAGGCAATGAAGTATAAGTATGTCTCTCCCTCTCTCTCTTTCGCTTTCTCTCTCAGCGCGCCGAAGCATACATATTTGATATAATGCAACACATTAAGATAGATTAAGTATTACATAAACGTAAACGAGTGTCCTGGGAGTTAACATTCGTTGGAATATATAATTTTAGATTGTTATCCTCAGAGGGCAAACTATATGGAATAACACAGTGTTATAATTATTTATAACCGGATTAAGAAAAGATGAGGTACGTCGCTCGCTTTTCTGTTAATCGAATGAAGACCGTCATCAACCCTCGGATCCCTCAATCGACGCGAGTATTTTATTAAAGCAACCTTTTCGTCAAGGAATATTTTAGCGCGATAAAATAATGCACACGATTTTTTTATTTTTCATGTAAAATGGTTTCTATTTTATTTTGTTATTCATAAGGTTTAACCTTTTATGCGTTAATATAATGACAAGTATCATCCTGATTCTGATTTTGACAATTTAAATTCTACTACAAGCTAATCTACTTTGTCAATGATAAAATTTGATTCAATTAAAAAATATAGATTTGCTGAATCAGTATTATTAAATTACCTTCATTTAATTCCACTACATATTTGTCAGATTTACTTTGATTCATCTTTATTTAATTTTATTAATTCTGCTTTATGCTATATGATATCCAATTGTAGCATCAATATCTCTCATCTGTTCTGATTTATTATATTTTATAATGTTAATATTTATTTATTAATATAATATTTTATAATAATACCATTTTGTATATTTCAAAATATATTTGCGATATTATTTCTATCGTATAAGTATTTCGAAAATAATAACTGTCGATGGCAAAAGTGATTGGCTTCGATTTTTATTTTCAATAAAAATTATAATGTATTATTTTTTTCTTAATAAATAACAATAAGTGATGTATTTATTCGATAAATGAAATATTTACGTCAAACATTATACATGCGGAATAAACTGTCAACGTCGTCAAAAAATCAAGGAATCGCGCAAAGGAATATATATATATATATATATATATATATATATATATATATATATATATCTTCCTCTCTGGAGGAAATTTAATTTTGTAACGTTGGATATATTAAAGGAAGTCCGATTCCTTGGATTTTTGTGTCGCAGAGTTTGAAGAAACAAAGATGGTTCTATACGTAACGTAGCTCCATTCGCGTTTAGAACTTTGCAACTCCCCCGACGGAGTAATATTTACTGTAATACGATTTGAAAGTTTGATGGACGGAAAGAGCTTACCTGAAGCTCGGAATCCTTTTGCAACAGTTGCTTCCGGAATTTTTTATTCGCTAGCTTCGCCTCCTTCAAACGCTCGTCGAGCTCACTGACTGTCGAGTCCCTTCGTATTTTCAGCATTGGCCTCAGAGTCGCCCTTGTCCGCTTATTTATCGCCCCTTGCGGATTCCTGCGTAACTCTATTACCTAGAAATCCCCAAGAGAGTTACTCTTACTTGACTTCGCTGCTCTCATTTTGAGGATGGATAAGATGGATAGACACGTTTATTATCGTGCACTATAGTTTCTCCTCTAAGAACGTGTATAGGTGTATATATTTATAGCAAAATAATTTATCTCGAATAAATGAGGAAGAATGTGTGAAACACATTGTTACAAACAGGTGTTGTAAGAAAAGTGCAAGAGAGAATAATTTCAGTGAACAGATTTATACGCTATATAAATAATCGGAACAAATTCTAGAAGAGAACTTTAGAACAAGTTGACTCTTCAGACTCTTGTTGACATAAGATTTAATATACATATAATATACATGTATTAGTTTGAAGATGTGGGACAAAAAAGCATCTAATTGTTACAAATAATCTCTTTGAGTATTATCCGAGATCAAACAATTTTTACACAGCATGTAAATAAGACACACCCTCGGTAATAAGCGTACGCCATTTTGACACTTAAGGGGATCCGTCACGATTGTTTGTTTTATCGACCAATTACTATTTTCGTACTTCTAGTTTTTTGTCACATTAATTTGACAGACTTAAAAATGTTTCTCTACGATTTCAATACATGCATCAGTGATCCCAAAAAAGTTCAATTTCATATGAAAATCAGAAATAATTACGAAATTACAGTTTTTCTTTATTAATTTTCTTTTACCCAATATGGCGTCTCAAATGACAGACGAGCTGTCAACTCATCATATTATGTGCTTTATAGAAAAAATGTGCATTTTGTATGAATATAAACACAAAATCCCTGAGATTAAGATACATGAAAAAAAGCATTGTTAGCCTTTAAATTTAGATTAGAAGTCTCATTTATAAAAGTATATATAGTTTGTATTACGATTCGTACGTATGTGTGCGTGCGTTGTATGAGGGCGCTACTATTTGGTCAGAGTTCGTCGTTCGCTGAAGGATCCCCTTTTTGCTATTTGGGACAAGAGTGAAATAGGAACGTACCTTAGGAATAAAAACCAGACAAAGAGTGGCTGTACTACAAAATATAATGAACACCGCCAACATTATGAACATGGCGTCCTGTTTGTCAGTCAGCACGAAGCTTATAGCCGCGCCAGTGACGCACATTATAACAACGTTGTACACGCTCATTCCCACGTATTTACTGTCATTTAATGCCGGTATGCTAACGTGACGCGTTTCCCATGCCAGAAAGGCACCGAATATCTGAAAAGACCCCGCAGGGTTTGAATCGAATGAGTATCTATTGGATTTACCCGGTTTTATTCATCCGCGAAGCGATATATGTATATATGGCTCGAGTACTTACCATTAAAAGGCCTTTGTATATATATATGCAAAACAGATAAATATTCATTTGATTGCTCTGACAATACTCGTTCTCCGGGATGATTATTATATCGTCGCTGGAGGGATGATGCTGCAAAAATCGAGGGAGCGACCTCACGAGTTATCGAGAAAAGTTTTTTCCAAATAAACAAAAAAAAAAGAATGAAAATGCCGAAATTTATAAGCAAGCGTACGATATATATTTCTTCGGCATTTTTAATTTTCTTACTCACGTAAGGCTCCATTTGCTTAATCGCCCGATAGAACGGATCCGCTATTTGCCACGTCGTCATGATTGTGAGATCGACAGCTAACAATATCCCGACCACCATGAACAACTGGTAATCTTTTATCACCTAAATCACACATACACACGCATACAAACGAGTCTGTTAAGCGCGAATATCATTTGCATCATCGATGCGGGAAGAGCGTTACCTTCTTATTGAGCTTCACATCGGTGAATATGGAGTGGACGCGCCACGTTTTCGAGAACATGGAGCCAAAGGCCAACGAGAAACCGGCCATCAGCAACCACGCTCTGGCCGTACAAATGTATGGGAACGCCGCCACGCTCGATAATTGCGAGTCTAGTCCGAGAAAGATAACGCTACTGTAGGTCAGCATACAACCGATAATGATGAGATTGTTGAGGTGGGGCGATGACATTTTGATGTATCTGCAATATTGAATTTCGCGCGTGAAAGCGTGTTCGCCTCTTGGCAAAGTACTCAAGGGGAGGAAACCCCACAAATGTATGTATGTGTATGTGGAAGATCTGTGCTTTTGTACATATACAGAGTATCTGGTAATGAACTGACCAACCAAAAGGTGATAGATGATAGATTGGGTCAAACTGAATAGAAAAGTCCTGTACCATTTTGCTAAATTAGCAATAATTATTGGTACAGGACTTTTCTTTTTAGTTTGACCCACAAATGTATGTGGAAGATCTGTGTTTTTATAGATATACACGTGTCTCTGGTAATTAATTGACCAACCGAAAGGTGATGATAGATTGGGTCAAACTGAAAAGAAAAGTCCTGTACCATTTTGCTAAATTGGCACTAATTATTAGACTGTTATTTTCAGTGTTTTGATCCAATCTACCATCCCCTTTCGGCTGATCAGTTAATTACCAGACACTCTGTACATACGTATGCGCGATATGTAATTGTTACGTATTACGGCGATGGCCTTTCGATCACCTTTGATTTCTGTATCTGATATTGATGGCAAGAAAAATGGATGCCATGACGATACCGACACTAGCGGCCGAGGCTAGCACCGCGTACAGAGTGATGTCCACGGTGGAGTGCTCGATGATGCGAACCGTCCGGTCTTTCGGCGGGGGTCTCCCGTTCCACAGCGGCGCGTCTCCTCTGGTCAGATCCAGAACGCCGCTTATGCTATCGTACTCGCCTACGTTTACCTCTTTACCGTCTAAAAAAAGGGTGAGTCGACAAATTGAGAATCGGGGGCGCGATTCGTAAGATAGCACTAGTTTATAAAAATTTTTTAGTATTTTAAACCAAACAAGGTGGTTTTTTTATAGATTTTGGATGCTGAAAATGATATCGCGAGTCAATTTTTGACCAGCACGTCAGGTTTCCAAAATAAATGAGGTTTACATGCGAAAAATGACTTTTTTGCGATATTTGAAATTTTTTTATAAGGTTAACGTTTCTGAAAATTCTGATTAAGTGTCATGAATGTATTATTTATTCCTTATATTATACATTTTTTATTTCGATAATTTACATTCTAGCCATGTTAAGGAAGGATTTAATAAAATAATTTTTTACGGATCAATATTTTTCTCGCCTATTTCTTTACAGGGGAAGCTAAAAGAGGAACAAGGAGAATGTTTGAGATCCCAATCACAGGATACAAAATTCCCAAATTCCTCAATTTTCTTACTTAATTTCGCAATAACATCGCGTTTGGCTCTATGACCGAGAAGGAGGTGTATATCGTGTAAAATAATTTTTTTCAAAATTTTTTTTTCTCTTAACAGCGTCTCTATATAAGAAGTAATTCTTAGCTTTACTCTTTTATACATGACTAAAAAGCAGAATATTGAAATAAAAGCAATGCATTTTATAAGGGATGAACAATTCATGATATTTGATCAGACAGATAAGATTTCAAAATAACATTAATTATTTACAAAAAAAAAAAAAAAGAATCTCACATCGCAAAAACCATTTTACATATTAACGTCACTTATTTTGGAAATCTGACGTGCTGGTGACATTTTGTTTGCGGCATGATTTACAGCATTCAAAAATTTATAAAAAACATTTGTCTGATTTAAAATAATTTTTGGTAATGTAAACTAATATAATACATACGTTTTCTCTATCGTTAAATTAAAGCACCTATTCCACTAAAAAATTGATATCTGTATGTTTTTATCGTCGAATCGGATCAATTTAAATTTTTCCTTCTAATCGCGAAATTCTGATTATAAAAGGAAATGCATGTCGGTGTAATAAAATTGCTGCGCTTTGACGGATCATAAAAATAAAATAAATCGCGTTCAACGAGATTAAGTGTAGCACAGTATTTTACTTTCAACATTCATATATATTTTCGTTATATTTTCAATTTTTTAGATACTTTTATCGTGAATTTTATCTTCAAAGTTTATCAAATTTTCATTATGATTTGAAGACAAATTTGTGAGAATATTCATTGATCCGCGCGCATAATTTATTGTACATCATTCATTGTAAAAAAATATATTATATATTATATAAAATATGTAAAATTACATAAATAATAAGTATAAAATTACACGATAAATGATGAAAATGTACCTATAGCTTTTCAATATTTATCGCGTACTTTTACATTTATTATTTATGTAATTTTACATATTTTTTATGTAATATTATATATTTTTTTACATCATTGCTTTAAAATAAATAGCTTAATTCGATTAATAATTTTTAATAGAAAATTTAACTCGTACAATTACACATTTCGCGTAAAACATAATATGAAAAAAAAACTTTTATTAGAGAAAACTTTTTAAATACATTTCTCTTTTGAATTCTCCCTGTAATAATTACCGAGCTATAGCGAAAGCTTGAAATAGGTACTTTGTAACTTTTAAAATTCCTGCGCCAATGTCTTAAGAGGTGAGCAACTTACTTACTTTGAAATTGTTTTAGAAGAATGTACGCTTTCCTTTCGTTATCGTAGAAGCGAACCGGGCCCTGCAAATTTTACATTTCTCACATCCATTTCGCGTTATTTATACATACATCTATATATATATATATATATAACATATACATGTATGTATATGTACATGTAGGATAGTGTTTGTACCACAGGCGATAGGGCGGGCGAATCGGATTTTAAAACAAAAGCGCGCTCTTCACCGATACGCCATCGACTCATGCCAATTTGCCCCACTAACTCGTCCGGTGGTTTGTCATGTTTTTGATTTCGCTTTAATTTCAATTCGGTTCACCGCCAGAATCGGTCTCTCGTTCTTTCTCCTGGCTTCGTTATTGCTACTCTCGTTACATCTATACATACACACACACACACATATATATATATATATATATATATATATATATATATGAGACGATACTACGTCTGTACATCCCTTTTTGCTAAAACGTGCTCGACTGCGGCAAAGTATGTACTGCGTCGTATATTAAAAAAAAAGCGAGAAAAAGACTCATTAAATTCAAAGCGGTATACGGTTGCAGGACGCGTAGAAAAATGATGCGCGCACTTGAGACAGAGCCTCGGACGCGAAAAGACGGTCAAGTGCAGCACGCGAATGCCACGGATGTTGATTATGGCTGGAGAGAACGCAAGCAAAGCAAAACGCCTCACTCTCTCGTAAAGAAGGGCGTAAAGTGCCCGGCAGCCTCGTCGTCCTCGGGACGGACCCGATCGGATGCAAAGGGTTGTCGCTTGTCTAATGAGAAAGCGTAAAGACTCGCTCTCCAATCTTTGCTTTTCTTTATAAACGTCTTCATTCTCTTCCCTTCGTTCTTTTAAACGAGTTTCCTCCCGAGGGCGATTGTGCGGCAACAGCGAAGTTATACCTCTGTGTATTCGCGACACGAATACTAAGACAGCAACTTGGAACTTAAGTGACGCGAATCAATCGACCGCGGAGAAAGAGAGAGAGAGAGAGAGAGAGAGAGAGAGAGAGAGAGAGAGAGAGAGAGAGAAATATTTTGCTCCAAGCTATACAGGAGTTGTCGTTAAAAGGGCGAGAGGTGATAATCTCGGTGAAATGTTTCTTCTCTTATGGAAAAAAAATATATATATACAGGGTGTCCTGGAAATTGCTGAAACTAATCAGCTGTCATTTTTAAAGCATGCGGTTATTAATTAGGAAACAGAAAACAAAAATTGTGTTGGAAAGAGGAAAAGTATATATAAATAAAATGTGTGTATATGTACTAGTTTATTTTATTGAAAAAGTGCTAATAATCACATATGTAAGCTAATGATAAATATTTTCGAATTTGATGTTATTGACGATCTTTTTAATAGCTGCTATTAAATCTGGCACTGTTGAAAATATTTATCATTAGTTTATATGATTTTATGTGATTATTAGCACTTTTTTCAATAAAATCAATATAATTTTTATCAATAAAATAAACTAGTGTACAAACATTTTATTTATATCCATTAAAAACTGCACTTTCTGCATGCATTAAAAAATGATAGCTGATTAGGAGAGTAGAAATAATCGACCAAAAAACTAGCGTAATACTTCGTTTATTAAATTCACTACGTTTCGACCATGTGGTTGTGGTCCTTTTCAAATGAACAAATATTTATCATTAAATATTAAATCTTCATATTAGTAATACTGTCGATAATTATTAAACTATAAATATATACAAGTCAAACGATTGAAAGTACGAGAAATGGTCAACATGTCACGCCGAAGGATCGTCAAGTTTTAATATATGTGATAGCTGATTAGTTTCAGCAATTTCCTATGGGACACCCTGTATACAGGAGAGAGATGTATCTTCGTAGCTAATATAAAAAATTCTCGAGACTTTTTATTGAGACGATTACACCGAATAAAAATATTGCAAGTATTACTCTAAACATAATTACATAACTGCAAAATAAAAATATTCTGTTTCTTTTTCATCATTTCTACTAAATAGATATATTCTCGATCATTATTAAGAAAAAAAATAAATAAAACACTTTAAATCAAGAGAAAATTATTTTTCTTCGATATATTTTCAGAATATGTTCATCGAACATTAATGGTTAGATATTTAGAAGAATGATATCGGAAAGATATTAATTTGTAAAAATGTATTCATTATCACAAAAGAAACTATATAGGACCCTATTTATCAGAAGAAAATTATTTTTCTTTGATACATTTTTTAGAATATATTTCATATTAAATTTCGATGATTTAAAATCCAGAAGAAAAAGATATTAATCTGTGAAAATTTATTCATTACCACAAAAGAATCTATTTCGGAACCTATCTATCAAAAGAAAATTATTTTTCTTCAATATATTTTAAGAATATATTCCATCAGAGCTTTACAGTTTGATATTCGGAGGAAAAATCAAGTCTATCACATTTATTTTTATCATGAACGGAACTATTTAGGAACCGATACACAAATGTGGAGAATTTTCAAACTATAATATTAAAAAAAAATTTCTACAAGTTTACTTCTCGAGTTTCTTGTTTCTCGTTTAAAAAAATCGGGATGTTAAGATATAAACATAAAGTTACATGTTTTAGATTAGAGCTATAGTTTCGAAATATGTATTATCAATTAGAAAAAGAATTGCAATTGTAAATGCTTGATTGGAAAAAAATACAAGTTACAAACTTGACAAAGAAAATTTCATAATATATAAATTATTATCTATAAAAAAATACATTCTCTTTTAATTGTAAAAATGAAATAACGACAATGAGATATTTGTCACAATAAAAATTATAAATTATGCATTTGCTTGATTGTTAACAATGCATTTTGTTTATGCATCAAAATATTTGAATAATTACAATATATTCTTTCATATAAAATATAATATGCATATTGCTGAATCAAAATACCGTATAATTTCCCTTGCACGTACATTTCACGATCCCAGAAATCATATTTTAATTTTTGCCATAATATTTTCCCCGTGTACATTTGTAATATGTATATAATTCATCAAAAATAATTTCCGGGAAAAATCATTAAGGCTTTTTACGACTTGTCGGTTACGAGACACTCCGCATAACAACGTCCGTTTTTAGCGCCAAGAGTTTTATGTCAAATGGCATTACCCGACGCCCGTATTCGGCGCACAAGAGGAAGAGCGGAAAGGGATAAAAGGGGGAGGATGGCCGGGCGCGAAATTGCAACAAGGCGGGGCCAGCTTACCGTGACACCATCGAAGCTTGTATTCCTGAGGGCATCGAGGAAGAGTCGCTCCCATAATACGTCCCTATACCGAAAGTCGGATATAGTCTGGTTATGATGGATATGCCGTATCCTGCGCGCGACATGCTTCACAGCCAGGGCGACCGTCCAGATACCGTCGTACGTGTATCCATGAAACCTGGAGTACTCGTTGCCCCGCCTCGAGTCGTACTCGACCTGATACTGATCCGGGGTCTGCGGCAGAAAGGGAGGACGCATCAAGATATGCATATCAAGACAAGCAACAGGCGTCATGACGATTCGAGTCTCAAAGAGGCGCCATGTACATGTATATATGGCGTTATTCCAATTGAGCACTCCTGATCGCTCCGGGCGCGATTAAACGTAATTCTCGACAACTCTATATTGAAAGATATGCGCACACACTTGATACATGTATACACGTATGCCGAAATATGTCACTCTGCTCCGTCGCGTTACGCCCCATCTACGGATTCTTCCGCCAATTTCGAGTCGATTTTTCCGTAATCCTTTCAAGATCACATTCGGGCTACTTATGCGGCGGAAGACGCAATATTCCGTCGCGTTTCCGTGCTCGAGATTGGAAGATATATTTTCACTTTTATAAAAAAAAGAAAGAAAAAACTGTGAGCATTTTATAAAACTGCTACGTACCGACTTTTAGATTCTGCAATTTTGAATCTAGATAACCGAATGGGACTCAATTTGCTTCTCGGAACGACTTTTACACACGACTTTAATCGAAAACCGATCATGAAGATGAGAAGAACTAGAGGAAGCATATATGAGCGCTATAGATGAGGTATATAAGGCCTAATACAATACAAAAGTACAGACAATAAGAACAGGAAATAAAAAACATCCATCAAGAGCGGAGATTATATTATTCCTATTGCCTGTACTTTTGTCTCGTGTGATATACTTAATTTTAAAGACGTAAAGAGAATTATTTGTCGGAAAAGGCCCAAATGGATGCAATTGGACACAAGTTATATCGGCCAGTGCCTAAATGACTAACGATTAACTAGAATCAGAAAGTATGTCCTATGTTCAATTGACCAATCAACTAAGTATTTAATAGGGTATCACCCCATTTTAAAATAAAAATAAATTACTGATTGGTTATCACTGAAAAAGTATAGATTCCCAGATAGCACTATATCCAAAATTGACGCATAAGACATCTTTAAGAAATCATGGGGTTTGTTCTTTATTGTTGTACTAATGAACTAGTGCAGACTGTCGCAATAAGTTAAAGTGAAACAACAAATATTTGTCTGACTTTAACTTATTGCATTAGTTTATCACTGCAGCAATAAAGAACAAATCCTTTAAGAAATCTTATTATGATGTGATATTCAAAAGTTATGCGCCAATTTTGAACATGGTGCTGTCTGGGAATTAAATTATTATTATTTTACTCTTTATTATTGGTTTTCATTGAAAAATGCTAATGCAAATATAAAACGAGAACTGATAGTGCTCTTAAGCAAGATAACTGTGATTTAATTCCTCTTACGTCTTAGGAGACAGAATTTGTAACTATGGGTTTGCTCTTTATACGAGTAGCTGCACCGGTGAACTATAGTGCGGTAGGTTGGAGTGAAACAAAATATACCTATCTCACTTTAACTTATTGCACCAGTGTGCACTAGTTCAGCAATGCGGCAATAGAGAACAAACCCTATATGATCCCTCCGTATCTCCTTATCTCCATGGAACTGACATATATACGATCACATTCGCTTACGATTCCGGACGTGGTGTGCTGTCCTTCGGTCGTCAGGGGCAACAGATCCGCCAGGATGACACCGTGGAGAGCCTCGGACAATTCGGCGGGATCGCATCCACCGTCCGGACGCAACCACCACTCCCTGGTGTAAGTCCCGATGATGACCCACTGATACTTCCTGCCGTACATACCGAATCTGTAGGCCTCGCAGAATATTCGCCTGGCCCACGCCTCATTGAAGTTACCCAGCAGGATCCTCACGTCCTTCTCCTTGAACTTCTCGAGCGCCGTCTTAACTTCCGTAGCGAAGCTCAGCGTTTCCACGAGCTCCATCTTGTTCTCGTCCAGATCGACCACCAGACGATTGTGCACCTGGGTGCACGAAAAAAAGGTGTGATTTGAAAGCACTATTGGCTTTGTTATCGTTAGTTGAAATTCTGAACGCTAATCACGTAAGCGCATTCGCGCGTTTAGCTCGTTCAAACGAGCCGTAACAGCAACGACGAATCTCCATTTATAATGTAAATGAAACAGTCGCTTGCATATACATCAGCCGGGAGCGTGCGTACGAAGAGCGTTAATTAACCCTTTCGTTTTGCCCAAATCGCACCCGATTGTTGGGAACCGCTGTTCTTCTCTTTTTCATCACTTTCATTAATTAATGTTTAATACGTAGAAAGTTTTGACATTTCTTTAAGATTTCCCATTTTTCGTAAGATGCATTAAGTCTCTTTCTCTCCTTTCTCTCTTTTTCGTAGCCAAATCAACTTTAATTACATTTCCAAGAGACGTTTTAAAGAGAAGGACATTTTTAACTTTCTATAGTTTTTCTCTTGTTTTCTTCCTTAATTTCGCTATACAGGGTGTAACTGGAAAAGCATATTTTTTGCATGTTCCCAATTTTTGCCATTTTTCTAAGTCTTCAATTAAAATTTTATTAAAGTAAACTCTACCTGAATTTAATTGAAGAATGTAGTTTTATTAATATTTAAATTCTATAAAGTTTAATTTGTAAGGGCTTCTTTTTCAATTATTGATAACTTGAAAATTATTGGTGTCTCGACATTTTCACTGAGGAAAATTCATCTCTAAATTGGCCAGAGAATTCGATAGGGTGTTTCGTATATGTTTGTTCAGTTACACTCGTCATATTAGAACTTTTTTTTATATTGCAGAGATAATTCGGGAGATTTTACCAGTGAGTATCTAGGCTCGTTCTGATAAATTGTGCCGACCCGCGTCCAATTAAAATGCACTAACAGCGCCACTCTTGGCGCATTCAGGGCGTTTTCGGACGGCACTACCCTGAAGAAATTCGGGAAGTTATTGGTCGTGAACATAGGATGGGTGTCCGCGTAGCTGAGCTGCAACAGTAAGAGACAGAGAACGAAAATGTTGATAAAGGAATCACATATCTCTCTCGCGAATCTCATCTAATACGAATCTTTTTCCGTGTACATATGTACGTGTATGTATGTGTGCGTGTGTATGCAAATAAGCGAGGACGGAAAGAGGACTCTCTGGCGTACGTCATGAATATTTACGACGACATTTTACCATTGCATTACCTGCGTAAGGCGCCAGTGTTTCGAAGCTTTCGCTATCGGGTCCGTGACTTGTGTGCAAGCACCGCCGAAGAGTATCACCTTGTGCGGTCCGTTGTGCATCATGTCGAAGAAGGCTTTCATCCCGACGGCGGCGCTACACTGCAACACACGATGATTTATCGCTCTCAATTTTCTCCCTCGTTAATAGATAATTCTGAAAAAAGAGTGCAACTTGAAACTTCAAAGCAATTTCAAGAGTTTAAAAGGGTTCATCTGAAATACTTCCACAAACGAAAAAAAGTTAAGTACATAAATATTAAATTATTTAAAAAAATCTCATCTAAATATACTTAATATACAGGAAGGAGTAAAAGTTCCGGAACGGCAAATATTGGTTTAATAAAAAAATGTTTCAAACACAAAAGGAGTAGGGCTTAAAAAAAATTATTAGGTGATTATATCTGTTTGATCTTGGGATGAAGTTAAAAATCCCGGTCAAGGTCAACATGAAAATCTTAAACAGAAACCCTCTTATTTTTTTTTACATATTCATACATATTCTTAAAGCTGAAAAGTCGAGAGATTTTCACACATTATAATAAAATATTTTTTCCATCTCAAAATCAAACATATCATCACCAAATAGTTTTTGAGCCCTACTCGCTTTTTGTTTGAAATATTTTTTATTAAATCAATATTTTCTGAGATATTTTACCGTTCCAAAACTTTTGTCCCTCTCTGTATATTTAATATATATTTTAACTAGTTAAATGTATTATATCTGAAATATATTATACGCATTTTTTTGCTTAATGTATTCCTTCGCTTACATTTTCACGGAATGTTTGCATCGAGATAGAAAGTGATCGTTTCTTATATCGAAAACTCTCTTTGATATTTGCAGAATCAACAAGTGTTTGTGTTGGGGTACAGCCGGAAAATAGAGAAAAGCGAAGGGTAGAGTTATGCCAAATCGGGTGGGGGATGAATATTATCGGGACGCTTTCGACATTATCTTAATTATAGAGAGATTAACGCAAAAACTCGCGAAGAATAAAAATCGTAATATCAATAAACGCGCGCAAACATACTGATTTTATTTATCTTTGAAGAAAAAGTTTAATTATTATTAATAGAATATAATGGCTTTTCTTTATAAAAATAGAAATGGTATCACCGAGAAAATTCTATTCTCGAAATAAGGGAACCGTATACCATAAAATCTCTATATTATGGATATTCTTAAGTGTTTCTAGAACATGCACTAAAACTAAGACTATATTCTTTGGTAATAACAAATGGTTGTATACCTTTTTATGCGGATCGTTTATTTAGCGTTATATTGTTGCAGCAACGTATATAGTGTTGTAATTTACACCGCAGTGCAGTGTTTATCACTGAAATTTTAGTTTTTTAGGAGAATGGATAAAGTTAATATTAGGAGAATGGATAAAGTTAAGTGACTCGAGAAAAAAGACTTGAAGCACTCAGAGAAGTATTTACAAATAAGTAACATGCACAGAAAAATAAGAGAAATTCTTGTTTTGAAAATATCTTTAACTTCAACGCGGAAATCTTGGAAAATGGGATTATGTTGCGTTAAATAAAGAGAACTTGCTTGAATAAAACATTTTATATATAATTCAACCAAGAAGAATATATTCTTGAATGTTGAATAAAAAAAATATACTTTCAAATTAAAGATTAAATTCTATTCTTCTTTGTCTATATGCTATAATATATTTTTTTATTAATATAAAAATAAACCCTATTTTGTTTACATTTTTCTATAAATTAGAAGTACTTGATACTAATGTTTAAGAGAATTCCACTCTTAAGACAAGAGATTCCGTTTAGCGCCTATTTTAGAAGATATTTAGGGTATTCTAAACATATATGGAAAATTCTAAAAATGAGGGTATAATTTTTTCATTGATATTTTAAATCTTTCCGTGAAACTTTTTTCCTCATTTAAAATTTTTATTAGAATAAATATTTAACATGCGAGAATATAAAGTGTTGGTGCGATTGAAATAATTGTCAAAATGGCGAACGGAATGAAATGATTTTTCGAATTATTTCATATATTTGTGAATTATTTCCGCGACGGACGTTCATCAGTGTCGCACATATTCCGTTCAAGTCTACATTATGCTCCTTTTATATCAGCACCATTTTTCGAGTGTTCTTTTTCACGTTGGAAATTGATTCCAACAGCTATCGCCACTTTCTTCTTTTGTGCACGTTGCGGATGAGCAGATGACCCCATTTCGAAGACAAGATGTAATGGGATATAATTACACGGATGAAATATAAAAAATTCTGGGTGGTCGCAGAAAAACGGAATTGAGTCTATTCTCTTTCCGAGGATACGAGACACTAAATTTATCATGGGTAGAGCCTGAAATATTTCTCAATCTGTTGAGATTATTTTTTGAAATAGAGAAAAACTGTGCGCAATTTTTTGTCGTCGCTTAAGCAATATTTTTTTAACCTCATTGCTATATTATCCTTTTTCCCCTCTCTTGCATTCTGTTTTTATAATTTCGTCACGCGCCAATTGTTATTTTTCATTAAGGGAATTCTTCACGATTGTTTATTTTATCGATCAATTATTATTTTTGTGCTTCTAGTCTTTTGTCGCATTAATTTGACGGAATTAAAAATGCTTCTTTACGGTTGCGATACATACATCAATGATTCCAGGGAAGATCAATTTCATATAAAAAACGAGAAATAATTGCGAAATTATAGTTTTCCTTATCAACTTTTATTTCAATATGACGTCTCGAATGACAGACGAGCTGTCAACTCGTTACTTTATGTGCTTTATATAAAAAAATATACATTTTGTATGAATATAAACACAACATCCCTGGGATTATATCAATGAAAAAAGCATTGTTATCCTCTAAATTTAGATTAGAAGTGTAATATACAAATATAGTTTGTATTACGATTTGTACGTATGTGTGCATTTTAGGTTATAGACCAATATAAAAATAAATATAATAGAACAAAAAACAGCAATACATATTTACGTTCAAATCTGTAATAATATTAGCAAAAAGTGACCATGTATGCATAGATTTCCAATACGTGTTTGATCTGAATGATTTATAATGTGAAATTCAAAATATCAGTAATTATTCTTTGAAAATTAGTCGGTAATTACCGATATTTTTAATTCCAAAATGAGGGCGCTACTATTTTGTCGAAGTTCATCGTTCACTGAAGGATGATCCTTTAATTCGCAAAAACGCGAATTCTTAAAAATTTTTGAAATTTGTCAAACATTTATCTAGCTAGGCTAGGCGATTCCGTTTCTCGCGCATTTTATTGCACGGTCTCTCTTTATTTTGCATTGATTTCCGATACATCACGGCATAGATAAAAATCCGCTTCCCTCGGAAAATTGCGTTACGAAAGAGAATCGCGTAACTCGAGAAAGAATTCGAAGTTTATTAGTCGCGATCGTCGACTATTAGACTCGAAGAGAAACCAGGGAAGAAGAAGAAAAAAAAAAGAAATCCGATCTCTCGTTTCAAATGCAACGAAAATAAGGGGAGACGCACTGGTTTAACGACGTAGAACAATAAGGCTGCCACATCTGTTGCAATAGGATATTGTAAGCAAGATAATCTGTCACTTTTACGGAGGAAAAAGGAAAAGCATCTTCTACCCTTTGTACTCCCGGATTCACCTCGAGTTAAATCGAGGAAAGTGATATCGATTCACACGCAAAGGGACGGACAGTGTTTCCTTAATTATACGATTGCGTGTCGCAAAACTCCGAGTTCGAGAGCAAAGCTCATCGAGGGTAGCTCGGCGATTTTCTTCTCGCGTGAGAATGGGAAGAATTAATTTCAAACGACATCGCTCTCCCCTCGATCGCGCTATTTTGAATTAATCAAATTCAATGGTGCGTATCGTTGTAAAAAAAAGGAAAACAAGAAAAAAGGAATAAAAAAATGTACGAGAGAAAACAGCGCGTTTAATCGTGTACCTTTCAAAGTGTACACACGGTGGCCTTTCACTGGGTGTATGTACACTTTGCGATCGTATTTACAACTTTTCACAATATCCTTTCGACGCGAGTAATCGGAAGCGATTAATCTCTCGCCGTCTTCAACTACAAGCTACTCCGCTTTTTATCGTCGGTTTCCTCGAAGAAGTCTAGTCTAGACTCTCTCATAATGTCGATGTCCCGATGTCTCAGCAGATTTTTCTGAGCGTGCTCAGCGTCGTAAATCGCGATGCCGATTTTCCGGGGCCAGTGAACGAAAAAATTATGACAGAAAGAAAATAAAAATGGAGAGAGAAAAAAAAAATCATTGTTTCACGGCTGTTTATCTTTTTCCATTGCTCGCAATGGGAGAAGGGATAATGCGTGACTATGCGGATAACAGCGCATTAAATATATGCACATTTTATTGCACACACGCCAGGTTTTATCGAAAAATGTGTCGAGTATAATTTTATTGCACTTCTTTATTCCGGTCAGCGGACGCTTCTAAAATTCACGTGCATAAAAATTTCCGACAGATGAATCTTTGCGATCCGTGTGCTTTTTTTTTAAACGAAAGAGAGTTTATATAAAGAGAGTGTAATTGGACAAACGAATAGAGAAGCACACTATCAAATTCTCCGGCCAATTTGGAGACGATTCTTCTTCGGTCACTGAAAATGTCGAGGCACCAATAATTTTCAAGTTATCAATGATTGAAAATAGGAAGCTTTTCGCAAACTAAACTTTTGTAGAGTTAAAATGTTAACCAAACTACATTCTTCAGTGAATTTCAGGTAATTTAATAGAATTTTAATTTAACCCTTGAGGACCTTGGAGGGTAACTAAGGGACCCCAGGAGGTTTGTTTTCTTTATCATTTTTACAATTTTTCATCTTTTTCATTGAAACTTTGATTATGTGACTATTTCGTAGCATAGAATAAAATAAATCATTTATGTTACAACAATTATTCAAATTGGCGGAAATAATGAAATAGTGAAAAATAATATGTTTATGAAAATCATCTCAAAATCGCCTGTAATTCTTGCGAAATATGACAAAAATTTTGTGTGATTGTTGTATAAATCCAAAGAAAGACTAATATTTATATTTAAAAAGTAAAAATTATTCTTATATATAAATACAGAATC